TTCCTCGGACCTCGGGTCACCAAAATGTTGGCTTAGTAATGTTTTTAATTCGTCTCAATTATTAATGTGATCCCGTTCTCCAACTAGGTTCGCAGCTTCTCCGGATAACCTACTTGTAATAACGTGGAATAAATATTCGTTTTGTAACTGGCTTCCTCGGAATGAATGGAGTATGTATTTGCATTTTTTTATAAAGAGTGGTAAAAGTCTAGTATCATTATAGGATAATTTTAACCATTTCCATAGGAACTCCCATTAAATTTTCCATTTTTCTTTCTTTTGTTACAGAATACACTACCAATAAAAAATACTCTTCGGTTATTATTACGTAAATTTATAAGGAAATTAAATGAAATAATTTAAATTCCTCAATTACTTAACTAATTAGAATAATTAACTAAGTGTGAATTTATCTAGTAATTAGGCGTAATTAATCCCACAAAAAACCAGAATATAAACACACAAAAAATAAGAATGGTAGGAAAATACAGATTGGTGAAGAAGATCTACTCACAGTGCTGCAGTTTTCCCCATGGTCTGTTCCTTAATAAATTTGTTTGTTCCTTTTTTCCCGATTAAAACGTTGAGACGTACGACCGATTTTTCTGCGAAAACTTTTATTCGCCACGAAATAATACTTGGTCTTGCATATGTAAGGGTCCCTACCGACTGCGCCAATTAAGATAATGAACCAAACTTCAATAAAAAATATATTTATTTACAGTTTTACAGTACAGTTACAGTAAGAAGTTTATTACTACAATATTCGATATTAACTGATTACAATTGTCTATTTATACTTAAATTATATGCAACAAAACTATTTACTAAGCTTATTTACTGCATACGCTTGACCCAGGTGGGATTGCTGATGATGTGCGAACGAATGAGATTTGGTGGGGGTGCTCAGCCTTAACTCGTGCTATTTAAGTAGCTGCTATGGCGCTATGGCACTTTGCCGCTATTAATATCTAGCCGCAATTAGTTCTAACAGCAGCGCTGTTGGAAGTGGATGTGTGACGCAAATTTGCTCTAACTGCACCCTGTTCATCGCCTGCGACCTAAGTATTAAACGTTATTTAGTTAGTGTATACTGTATATTTATAAGTTATCGTAGGACACGGTGGTCTGCTACAAAAGTAGCCTAACTAATGTTTTTAAATGTTAATAAAATATAGATACAATGAAATCAAAACACTGACATTATTCAAAAAACGAGTGAAAGAACATTATTTATCGTTGTCTTCTGTGTAAGTCTCAAATACTGTGAAATGTACTATACTGTTACAAATATGTGCATGTACATATATGTATGTATGTGTGTCTGTATATATGTTTATATATTTAATTATGACTTTATATTATATTTAGTATTTATGTATGTATTAATGTTTGTTTAAATATGAATATATTCATGTATTTGTATGTATATGTATATATGAATATATATATATATATATATATATATATATATATATATATATATATATATATATATATATATATGTATTTGAGTTGACGTATATATTTATCTTACACCCATATGTGTAGTAAAATAACAAAGAGCACACCTTATTATCATTTAGTAATCATATGTGTTTGAAACTGGCCTACTGGAAGAAATTTCATTGTGAGATAAGTAGAGCCTTTGTACAAACTTTTTATTATGATGTGTCCTCTCCCTAATTTGTGTGTACATAAATTGTGAATAAAATAAATAAAAATAAATAGATACAAAAGTGTATATAATAGTATATGTTAATAGTTGATTCTTGTATATACGAATAATTTTTTTTTATTACGATTTAATCGATTTATAATTTACATTAAGGTAAAAATAACATTTATATATAGTCGTAGGCCTGAAAAGTATGAAAGTGTTCAATTTTTTTTTACTGCTTTATTTTATTTTAGTATAAAATGCGACTCAATACGAAATAATGTTCTTATATACCACGCGATCTATCCAACGAACGACATGTAATGAAACGTGCTACTAAATTTAGCGTGCTGCAAAACTTTACGCGCTTGCCGGCCTCCCAAACGTTTGCTTATAAATAGCGGGCTATAATATAAATAAATATTTGTAATTTACATAATGTACCTTCTTTTACCTAACTAGTATTTAATTTGAAATCTGGTGCTATTATTAGTCTGTGTGTGTGCGTGTGCGCGCGCGCCGCGTGGTGTGTGTGTGTGTGTGTGTGTGTGTGTGTGTGTGTGTGTGTGTATGTGTGTGTGTGTGTGTGAGAGAGAGAGAGAGAGAGTTTGTTTGTGTGTGTGTGAGTGTGTGTGCGTGCTTTTGTTTGTTAGTGGGTTAGAAATTAGATTTAGGATTGGGTTAGTATTTAACTTTAGTACGTATAGTAATTAGTTAGGATTAGTGAGTAGCTTTTCAGTGTCATCATAATTTAATTCTTGAAGCAAGATAGTTATTTTCTTTTTGCATGTAGTCTTATTGACGTTAAATATAGGGATAATTTTATTGATTTTATTGTATAGAAAACCTCCTAGGTGACAAAATAAACGTTTAGATAGTTTGGTGGATAGAGTTATATGAGTGCGGTCCACGGGGTTAAAACGCCTTTTACCTCGGGAGAGTGAGGGTTGTATTTTAATAGAGCATGTTGTTTCAGTAAGGTTCTTTGTATAAACAGTTGGCGCACAGTTAATATTTTTAACTCTTTATATAGGAGCTCTGTAGGATATTGATAAGGCAGCGAAAAAGGGACCTTTAAGATGGCTCTCTGCGTTCTCTCCAATTGGAGCATTTTTGATTTTCGAACACCGCCCCAGGAGGTAATATCATATGTTAATAGAGTTAGGGCCTTGGAAAAATATACGGATTTCTTTAGTTTATCATCCGCCGCGTCTCTCAGAGTTTTAACTACATATATTAATTTACGCAACCTGCTATTAAGGGTATTAATATGTTCATGCAAACGTAGAGTGCTATCGATTATGACTCCTAGATATTTTACTCTGTCAGCTTGACGTAGTTGTGTGCAGGTATCTGCATTATTGAGTGGATTGGAACACGTGCGACTTACGATAGTATGTGGTAGAGATGATGTGGTTAATGTGTTGTTTTTTAATCTAAACGGAACATAACAGGTTTTATCTATGTTCAGTGTCAGTACGTTATTTCGAAGCCAATTTGAGACAGAGTTGTAGCCCAACTGGGCGTACGCATAGACTTTTTGCCATTTACTTGCACTAAAAAGGAGAACAGTGTCATCTGCAAAACTTATGATCCGCTCTTTAGGGAGTGTGAGCATACGCAGTTCGTTAATATATATGAGGGATAAGGTTGGAGAAAGTACGCTGCCCTGGGGCGTTCCGTAGGTAGTTGTGCATTCGGCACTGACGAACTTATCCACCTGAACGCACTGAGTACGTCCACTCAAGTAGTCTTCAAAAAGTCACGGTTGAGTACCTCTAATTCCCATACTTTCTATCTTACGTAAAAGTATGGGTACAGAAACTGTGTTGAAAGCTTGGAAAGATCTAGAAAAATGCCAAAAACTTTCTTCCCATTGTCCAAGTTTGTAACAATATAATTTGTAAGGTCATGAATCGCATCGGACGTAGATTTACCTGACCTAAAACCATATTGTGAGGGCGATAGTAAGTTATTTTTTCTAAATAGTTTACGAGCCTGTTGTTCATTATGCATTTAAGTATTTTGGACAAGGCAGACAGCACGGCTATAGGTCTATAGTTATCGGCACGATCTCTGTCCCCACCCTTATAAATCGGGTGTATAATCGACTTTTTAAAAGCTTTGGGGAATTTTCCGGTTGTGAGAGCAAGATTGCAGATATATGTCATGGGTGGGACAACTACATTAATATGCATTTTAAGGAGATAAGAGGATATTCCATCCCAACCCACAGCACAGTCATTACGGAGAGATATTATTAACCTTGCAACCTCGTCCTCATCCGTTGGTAACAATACCATGGACTGCGAGTTGTTGTTAAAGGCTTTTTTCGTTGACTCTGTCAGTCCACCCAATATCTTTTCCGCAAGATTTTTACCTATGTTAGCGAAAAAATCATTAACTAAATTAACAGATAGCTCCGGAGAAGATGAAAAAGTTTAATACGTGATGGGATGAATTCTCTTTCTTTTTCGCTCTGTTTGTTATGTTGTTTATGGCTCCCCAGAGTTGCTTAGGATTATTATTAGCCTTTTTTAATTCATTTTTTTCATATTACAGTTTAATTTTTTTCTAGTTTCTGTACCTAGTAAAAGATATTTTTAAGACTTCGTTATCTGGCGTCTTTTTTGATTTTTTTGTGTAAATTATCTCCGTGTCTTATGCCTTATAGTCTGTAGCGTAGACAGAGAAACCTATAGACAAATTGACGCCTTCTTTCGCATTCACACACGAAAAAGATAGATTTATGCATACGTAGAAATGAGACAGAGCAGTGTGAATGTTCGTCCCTTTCTCCGTGGCGGTTTTTTTGTTTAGCAAACTACACTTTGCTAAACAACTTGGACAGTTCGTAGCGATCTAAGAAGTTTACAAGGTGGTTTAAGTGAGAAAAAAGTTTTTTGTGAACTTAATTATAATTATATTGGTGAATCTTGTTCAGTTCAGTTCTTAGAACAATTAAATTTTTTATCTAAATATGTTTAAAAGTCATAAAGATTATTGTATAACCTAAAACTACGTTATCGTCCTTTCTCACTCGAGGCCACGCTAATCTATAGGTTTCTTTGTCTACGGTCCGTAGCGTGCTATTGATTTATAGTCGTTTTTAACAATTGTAGCTGCTAGTCTGTGTTTATGAACTTAGGATATACTATTTTAGGAGGCACATTTTGAATCTGTGTTTAAAGTACATCTCTTTTTATATTCTCTATCTCGCTAGTAACGTTAACGTCGTTAACGTTAAAACGTAAGTTTCTCTCTACATATTTATTTATCTATGGTTTCTCTATCTAGTCTGTGGCAGTGTGGCTAGTAACTCGTAAATCTCGTGCTTAAAATGCCTAAGAGATCTCGTGAGTTAAAAAAGCAGGCATCTTAATTTGTTTATTATAGATATTAATTACTATTGAGAAATGTAAACTAAAATTAGTGAATTTCAGTTAATAGTGTCAAAATGTGTCGAAAAATTTTAGGGTGTTATGTTTTTGTGTTGACATTGTTGGATATTACGCTGAAAACCAAATTGACAGCTCAAGGAAAGAGCCATGGTAAAATCGATTTCACTATTTATACATTTTAAAAAATCTTAGTGTTATTAAAGCTGCCCAAATAATCAAGAGGATTTTATGATATTGTTTGTTTAGATTAATGTATATCGGGTTTGTTTCGCTACTGTTAATTCAAATTGCGGTGAGCGGTGCCGTGTTATTTAGAAATCAATCAGGGCCTGGTTTATTTGTAGTTTTTTGCAAGACATAGTTAATTCAAATGTTAAAATACAATAATAGTAGAACTGTATTCACATAAAATGGATCTCATTGTGCATAGTCCAGAAAGGCACATGCACACTGCATGTATGCATGTAATCATGCATATGCCTGTTAAAGTGGTAAATGTATAAGTATATTATATTACTCTTTGAAACTCGCTATCTACTTAAATTTTTTAAACCATAATTGTGTCACTGCTATTATATACATGATGTAATATTGATTTCTTATGTCAATAATATGAAGATGCTGTGTAGTTTGCTACAGTTAATCTTTTTTGTTTACAACCCTGTTGGGCTAAGTTTGCACCTCACTGCATTGTTAGACCCTCTTATTTCTCCTACCTCAACTCCCCATTCATAAAGCCGCATCAGTACAATTTGCATCTTTGTTACCGGTACACACATCTTAATTTTTGTCTCCAGTTTGTATAGTTTTTGGATTATTTTTGTTGTTATGTCATCTGCACCAAGTGCTAACTTAACTAACGAGTTGTACCCGAAACCCCAAACATAGCTACCTACATAGCTCGCTGAGCTCCTTGATCTCCTCATTCGGCTAGTAGTGAAGGACCTCATCTCAAATTCATAAATCCTCACTGGTAACATGCATTGGTTGTACAATCTTGGTTTTCAGTTTTAGGGTATGGCTGACAAGAAGATATGTCGTAATCTCTCGAATGCTGCTTAGCCGAGTTGAATCCGTTGATTGACCTTGTGATCAAAGTTGCATTTACCTAGTTGGACTATTTGTCTCAGATAAACATTCTCGTCAATAACTTCAAGGTTAGTGCTTCCAACAACTACCAGCAAAGGTGTGACATGGAAATAACACATGATCTTTGTTTTGTCCATGTTCATCATAAGACCTTTCCGTTAGGAAACATATTGAATTCTATTGAAGTCATTTAGCACAGTGCTTAGATCCACCAGTGTTTCTACCATAAGGACTATATAATCGACAGATCGAAGGTGAGTGATGTGCTCGGTATTGTTGTTAATACCACATCCGTTCCAGTAGCTTGAAATCATCTTCCAATGCAGCGGTGAGGAGTTTCGGGGATATAATGCAACCTTGTCTTACACTTTTCTGCAGTTAGATAGGTTTCATACTCTGGTTCTGTACTCGGATAGCCATCGTAGCCCTACTGTACAAATATGTCAACACTTCAATATAATGACAGTCAAATTGGCTGTTGGTATATTCATGTAATATAGTTCATCAAATAACATGCCATGATGTGTGTAATGAGCCGTGGTAGCTCAGATGGTTAGCGCTCGCTGTAAATTTCACAATACACGAGCAAACCGGGTTCGATCCCCGTCGGCACCAATGAAATTGTTAATTGCAATTTTAAGTGCTGATTTACCACATGCTCGCCGGTGAAGGGAAACATTGTGAGAAAACCTGCATGTCTGAGAAATAAGAAAAAAATTATTTCAAAGACATGTGAAGTTCGCCAACACGCATTGGGGCAGTGCGGCGGACTATTCCTTACCCTAAAACCCTCTCAGAAATGAGAGGAGGCCTGTGCCCAGCAGTGGGACGTATATAGGCTGTAACTTTACTTTTTTAAATAACATGCCAAAAAATAACAACTATTCAATTGAACAACTCAATTTTATATGCGAGAATACACTTTTATCTACTGACAATAAAGTACAGCCAGGATAGTTTCTGAAGAAAATAGACATATTATTGACAAAAACTGAAGGTGGAAGCTGTCAATTCAAAATTTTGAACTAAACTAAATACTCACTTTAAAAAATATAAACGAGTTGTAAAACAAGTTAAAAAATAGAACAAATGGGTAAAGATATAACTAAAGAGAAGGAATTAGTAAAGAAGGCCCTTTTCTGAGAAATTATTCTAATATTATTAGAAGAAAACTAAACTAAAAGACTCACAAAAAAAAAAGTTTAAACAAGCATACATATCTGAAAATATAGTATACAAATACAAATAATGTAGAGTTGAATGAATAGCAACTGTTAATAATATGAATAGTTATTGTTAATACTTACTTAACCACTCTAACGTCCGGGTGACCATAGTCGCCTAAAACTTATTCCAGTTGAACGTTAGGGCGACTAGAGCGGCCTCTCTGACTTCTAAACTTTAAACGACTTTTGATCTATAGAATGTTACAAAAAGCTTTATGAATGTTATACTAGATGGCTATATTAAAAAATGCGTCTATGGTTTAGTAAAAGGTCCATGCCAGGTAACAGATGGCATTGAAAAAAAAGAAGAAACAAGCGTGTCAAGTTTTGTGTAGTGGCCGGTGTTACTGTGAGTTCTTCATTTAAAATGTAAGTAATAATATATTTATTATACTTTTGTACTGGTGTTATATATGAAAATAATCCTCAGGATGTTCTTTTCGTTTATCTTCAAGTTTTATAAATCCAAAGTCTGTTATGATGTTTTTATATGTGATGAAGTCGACATGCGATAACTTCGCCTTTGTGTGTCGGTCTTTCGTTAATTCATATTATTTATTTTAATAAAATATTCCTTATAATTAGTAAAACAGGTTATTAACTATATTTAAATACACTTAAGTGAAAGGAAAATAGTGAAAGTAGTAAGGATTTTACGTTTTTGTATTTTGTTCCCCAGGTTACTACAGCCGCCCGTAACGTTTATGATATGTGTCATATTAAGGGTTCGTACAAACGAGAAATTATGAGTGTATTTAACATGATTTTTCATGACTGCTTTTTTATTTTAGTTGCCACTGCACCTTTTTAACATATAATGGTTGTTGTTTTATAGGTTTATAGGTATAGTTATAAACAATATATGGCTGCTTTTTTATTTAATTTGGTACTACACCGTTATACAACATTACAGAAACTCCGGCGATAGGATCAGTATCGGGGATATATTCCGAAACAATTCTTTTTGGGATCCGACATCTTTTTAATTTTTGGAAAAATTTCGCTAATTAATTTGAAATAGCATTGTATATAACATATAATTGTGGTTGCTTTTTATAGGTATAATTTTATGATATTTCTCTTTTCATTCAAGGGTTATGGTAAAACATTAAGAAAATAATGGGTTTTAATTGGTGTGGTGGTTGTTGCGTTTAGGTATTTTTTTAGTTGTTTTGGCACTGCACCGTTATAACATATTATTATGGGTTTTATTTTATGATATTGCTCATTACATTTAACGATTTTGGTAAAAGTTTTTTTTATATATATATATATATATATAATATAAATTAATTAATTTTTTATGCATATAATTTGAAACTAAATTTTTAAAAATAAGAAAGAAAAAAAATAAGTGTTTCATTTACATATTTTAATATTTATATTTAAGAAAAATAAAGGTTTTGTAAACATATTTTTTTAATTATATTTTATTTATACCCATGCTCAAATAATCGTGTAAACGGACCTTAAAGCGGGCGGCCATCTTGCCACATTTTATAGCTGCCCGGGAGATCATACTCTAGAACTGAGTATGTCGATATTTTAGGTATTCTTGCCTAGAAATACTTAACATTCATATAACGTTATTGGCATTATTGGATAGGGGATATCATGTACTTTAATAATTGTACAATAAGTATATATAAATAAATTGATGCTACGATATTAACGAAGAAAATAAAAAAAAATTAGGGTTTTTCATCTAAATTTCTGAAATTAATCATTTTTTTACCTGTTGTATGTCAATTGAGTAAATTATTATTATCATAATTAAACTCTGCATTTCATTAGCTTTTTGTAGGTGATTTTTATTCTGATATAGGTAAAGAACTTTCTCCATGGTAACCGTTTTAGTCAAACTGGTTGCGATCCGACCATATAAAAACATCAACGACCGGGGCCGGGACGTTCAAGGGTATTGTTGCCGCATCGCTTGGACGTTCAAGTGGTTAAGTATTTTAATATTTAAAAGATTTTGCCATTATTACGTTGTATTATTATGCTTGCCATTATTTTATTCTAAGAAATTTGCTCAGTGTTAATAAATTTTGTTTATTTTTTAAGAAATCTATATTTAATCCATACTATGTAACCCTCATCAGTCCCCTAGCAGACTAATACCTATACATAAATAGAAATATCTCAAAATCTACTTAAAAAAGGGCCCAAAAGTTACTGGCCCGGCTTAGAATAATTATTCATTACATTATCTATATTAAATATAAATACCAAAATTTATAAATAATCAACTTAAAAAGTATGATAAACAAAATATCTCTTAAAGTTACCCAACTTTTGTATATTCACCCATATCACCACTGTAATATATAATTTGTAGATGCTGCAACTATGTCATGGTTGCAGCATGCATGTGTGGCTTAATGGGGTGGGCCTACACTCACCGAACACCAGAGTAAAACAGCTGCTTAATGCTCTTGTGTTTCATATGATGAGTGAACAGAACAGGTGACCCTTTTTTACTGGTAAGTAGGCATTCTATCATAGCCCTCAAGGATGACAATGTTTCAAGGATATACATAGATGTCTATGGGCCACAGCATCCATTTATCATCAGATGGACTGTGCTTGTTTTTCATTGCTATTCTATTAAAAAAATATTGTCTTATAAAGTCAAAAAACAGTCCAATTGCATTGCTCCATTGTTATGATCAGGCTGTCCCTTTATGTTTTTATTGTAATTAGTATTTTAAGTTTTTTTTTTTAGTGTATTATTCCATAATTTATAATGGATGCATTCCATTATTCATGCCACCTCTTTACAGAAATGAAATTTTTATTTACAAAACTTACATTTATTTATGCAAAAAGGTGGTGAATTATTTTAACATAATCATGCAATTGTTTATTATTAGGTATCTTTATGTACCTATTTAAGTTTATGTCTCTCTTTAATCAAAATAAAAATACTAAACATAATTTAAGAATACAATATTTATATAAATTGTATAAACCAAGAGTTAAACTATTGTTAGTGTCTAGAAATTCATATATGATGTGCATAGATATATTGTAACCATTTAACAGATTGTTTCAAAAATTTACCTTTGAAAATATTTACAAAGCTTACCAAAGAATGGATTTTAAAGAACTGCTTTTGCAGTATAAAAGAATATTTATAATATAATTAAGATGTCAGGCCGTGATGCGAGGCTACTGTCGAAGGCGCCCTCAATAACTAGAAAGGCACAAAGAGCTATTTCCACCCTGTCAATGACCTCCAGTGCTTTTTTAACCCTGTCAATGACACTGATCAGGGCTGTTTCCATAGATTTGCCTCTGCAGTGAGCATGCTGGTTGTAATGTATGGGTCTTGTAGCTAGAGCTACATCCCTTATATATCTATCTATAACCTTCTCCAATGTCTTCAGAAGAAAGGAAGATAGGCTTATAGGTCTAAAGGACTTTGGTAAAGTGTAGTCCTTTCTACCAGCCGTTGGTATCAATAGAACTTTGAAAATTGTCCATCGTTCTGGATTACATCCCCATGCAAAACTTGCTCTGAAAATTTTCACCAGATAGGGAAGAAGGATATTGATACCCCTCTGTAGTAGGATGGGAATTATTCCATCCTCCCTGCTTGTTTTAAATGGTTTAAAGGAGTCAACAGCCCACTGCACCAGGTTTGGTCTTATTATCTTAGCAGCCCTACACCAGTGGTCATTACAAGGCCTTCGTAGGGCTCTGAAAGAATTCAAGCAGAAGTCTTATGTGACCCTGGGAAATGGGTTGACGCTAGTAACTCCAATGTTTCTGTTTCACCATTAATGAAGTTTTTACTTGGTAGCGCCATGCTGCAGCTATATTGTGGTTGCTGCACGAATGGGTTGGCTTGACCAGGGTAGGACCATGCTCTCACAGAATATCAGCGTAAAATAGCAGATTAATGCTGCTGTGTTTTGTATGGTGAGTGTAGAGAACCGGAGATCCTTTTTACTAGAACCGAGGCATTCCATCTTAGTTCTCAGGGGTGGCAGCGCATCTGCATTTTGATTCTCAATTAAAGATAAATGTAATGTCTATGGTCCACAGCATCCACTCACCATCAGATGGACCATGTGCTTGTTTGTCACCCTAATTCTATATAAAAAAAGTTACCATCAGGCTTTTTAAGAAGCCCAAACTGAGTATGTTTAGCTTTTGATAGCATTTTGTGTATTTTGGTGAACTATGCCACTCGCTCTAGCCGGAAAAATAGGCTGAGAAAATGATTACTCTGGCCCCTGTGCATCTCTTGAGATTTATGAAAGCTGTAACCAGGTCATCACAATTTTTACTGTAAATTATACAAGCTCTGGATCTGCCTTTAGTATTGACATGAATCTTACCGTCAGACGACAATCCCAGAACTTGATTGTTTGCCACCCAAGGCTCTTGTATGAGGGCGAGGTCAATGTTGTCCTCTGCAAAGCAAACCTCCACCATGACCGAAGCAGCTGCTGCATGGTGAAGATTTGCCTGAAGGACCCTCGTCTTACCCTTGTGGTTAACCATTTATGGGTGTGGGTGGAAGGGATCTTTTCCGCCTGTTGAGGACGAAGACGTCCTTTACCGGCGCTTTTGACCTCCACCTTATCTTTCGCTATACCGCACCCACCTCCCCTCAAATTTGAGGATACTTTTTAAAAGTCAAACTCACAATGCAATATATTTCATTTCATTAAAAAAAGCATATTAAATAAAATTGATATAAATTTCAACTTGTGATTTAAATTTAATATATGATTTGGATAATCTGAGTATTGTATTTATGTGTATCATCTCTTTCCAGGTGTCACATTACATGATTCCCTTATAGAGGGGATAAACTTTCAGGTAAAATAATGTCATTTATTAATTATTATTATTATTTTTAACAGGCCATGAAAGTAAAGGCTAGAACAGATAGTGTTGGGATGCAAGTGTTCCTTTTTATTCATGTTAATTTTTAAACAAATCATAAATGATAATTTATTTATTCTACTTGGCTATTTTCCAAAAATATCTAAACACATGACAGTGTGACTTTCAACATTCTCAATACTGCAGTTTTTTTAATTAAAAAAATTACATCTTTTTTTACAATATTGTTAAAAAATACTGCTTTTTATATATCCTTGGAGGTTAGTATATGACTCATATCCAAAAAAAAATGTACGTCAAGAAATAGTTAAGAAATGGTATTGTCAAGAAATGTTAGGAAATTGTAAATGTAAAGGTGTGTTTGGAATAGTAAAAAAATATTTGAAAATCAGTCATCAGTATTTTACTCACGAATTACTTTGGCATCTTACTAGTATTACAAATCAAACTCGTAACATCTAGTATACTTAATACAACACAAAACTTCTGGTATGTTAGAAAAAAAAAACTCCTCTAGACAAAACAAAAATAACATGCCTTGCATTTGGTTTAGCATGTTCTCATTACAACTATGCTATTACTTATATAAAAAAATCTGAAGCTTTAAGTTACAACATTAAACAAAAAAAAACTCTTCTAGACAAAACAAAAAATAACATGCCTTGCATTTGTTTTAACATGTACTCATTACAACAATGTTATTACTTATATAAAACAATCTGAAGTAAAGCATCAGAAAGTAAAGCTTTAACTCTAAGAATCATCATAATATTAACATAACAGGTTCCCTACTTCCAGAAAAAAACAATCTGAAGTAAAGCATCAGAAAGTAAAGCTTTAACTCTAAGAATCATCATAATATTAACATAACAGGTTCCCTACTTCCAGAAAAATATTAACAATTAAAGTTATTTTGATCATGCTTCATTAATATCTATAGCTTGCCTAAAAATATAATTTTCATTTTCTTTACTAGGGTAAGGCAAAAATTCAATTATGTCTTTGAAATCTATTATAGAGATATCGTCCTCAACAATTCGAAACACATTTTTATTTTTTTTTATTTCAGTCCTTTTACAACTATGCTGTCTTCATAAATATCCTCGATTAAACATACATATCTGTAAATTTTCGTTAAATGTTTTGAATAAAATTTTGCAAGAATAAAATTTCTAATCTTAGGAATTTCAGCATCTTTGGAAACGGCATCAACTACATTCTTGTTTGCTTTTATTATAAATTGTCCAGTTTTTTCGTCTAGGACATTGACCACCTTAATATCACGTAATATTTTTATATTTGTATGGCGAGATGTTATTAAGTTACAGTTTGATTCATGAAGTCTAAGTCTTTTATTCTCTTTTTCATTATTTGTTCTGGAAATAGTATTTTTTCTTTCTTCCATTTCTGTTATCTCTCTGTCAACGAACATATTCTCCTTACTTTTTTGTTCTGTCTTAAGCTTTTCCTTATTATCATGAACCTCCGTACATTTTCTTTCATCTTCACTGCTTAGATCTTCACTTATCTCATATCCTTCACTTTCACTGGTTTCAGCATAAGTTATATCAGAGTCCACTTCTGTGTCTGTAGAGCCCGTATTTCTCTTTCTTTTGCCTGAATTATTCCTTGAATAAACCTAAAAATGTTTGCATTTGGTTTATCATCATCTCAGTCCCCCCCGTGACCATGGTTGCTGTAAAGCACCCGAAACGTCGGGAATTAAAAATAAATAAAAGTAGTGAAATAAACGCGATAAAATCCGTAAATTTAGAGTTTTATTCAATGTGTAGTGTTCGCGTAAATTTAAGAATGAATTATTCCTGTTTTCAGGGTCCTTTGCTGGTCGTTTTTTAGTAACGGTTTCCTTTTTACGAATCAGTTGGTGTTTTCTTATATTATAACATTTGCAAAGCCCCCTATTTTCAGATTCGCAATAACAACTTACATCTCTATAAAAAATCGACCAATCACAGTTATGTGTAATTATCTGATGAACTTGAATCGTTCCTGTCAGAGGTCTAATACCTCTGACAGGAACGATTCAATCAGTATTTGTTTATCAGGTATTGTTTTTTAGATAGCGGTTATATCTTTTTCCGGAACATAAAATATTTTTACTTCAGTTTCTTGCTTTTTCAGTAGATCGTATGCAGCTTCTGCAGATGGTATATCATGTTTATAAGCAACCAATTGGTCTAGCTTCCTTTTAACGGCACCACCTACGCCGTCTGTAGGGCTTTTGCCATGCGCAGCTTCGAAAAAGGACCAAGTACCGTAATCAAAGATGCTTTCACCAATAATTTTGTTAAATAAAAAAAAATTTTTCTGACGATACTGGGTCGAAGGTCCATCGGAGAAAAAGTGAATGACTCGTGCCATTTGACATCTTTCCTTGGCGTATTCAATGATTGGTTTCAAATGAGCCCAATATCGCACCAGGATCATGAGAAAGCGATGGCGATATGGTACAAAATGAGATATGACTGTTTTCTTGCAAATAAATCACCCCTGTGTGTAAAGTAAATTGATTTTTGCTTGCGCCAAAATGAGCAGATTGTATTTCTTCAGACATTTTGCACGTGAAATTTTCTGAGAAATCACAAATTATAATAATCTCATCTTCTTTTATCGTTTCTCTGCACACTTTGAATGCTGAAGCTTGAGTTACTATATTAAAATAGTGACGCTTGAAGATATGCAGTTCTTCTTTGAAATTTTTTACTAAAGTTTCTAAAGTTCCAGTAATTTCATTTTTTGTATATCTCTTGGTGACAATAGTCTTTGAACATCCCGGTTTGCCTTTGACATATTCATGATTTTTCAAAATCCATTGGTACCAACGTATTTCCTTTTTGCCATTAATTTCAGTGTTCATTTCAGGCATTTTGTCTTTACAAAACTCACGAGAAGACTACATGCAGATTTTGGAATTACAGTCACAAGAAACTTCCTTCACAAGGTGTGACAGCGAGTTTGTTGTCAGAATTCCTAACGCTTTTAGTTTATCTGCTTTAAATTGTAAATTTGTATGTGTTGTGCACAGGCAAGTGTTTCTGTCATCACATGAGGGCCTATAACATAAAACGGCTTATATCGCCCAAAAGTTGTTCGAGATGCTTTTCCTCCTTCTGATTGATATTTTTTGTATAAATTGTCTATGGTATCTGTCAAAAAGCGTTTCTGCATTTTTATCTTATTCTGAGTCCTGGTTTCACTTCGCCCTGCTGTAGAGCGGCTTATGTCATCTCGAAGGAAAAAGTTATTAATCTCTTGTTCTAATATTCTGTTTTTTGGGTTTTTAGACCCGTGATGATTCCTTATTATTCCCTTGAGACCTAACTTCAGTGAAAAATTGGATTTCATGCGATACTTTTTGGTAACCTCGTTATCAGCAATGTTTTTTATTTGCGCTACATTGTGAGTATTTGTATTGTGATTCAAGAGAATTTGATAATACATTCAGCTTGAAAATTTTCTTCTTTATTTTATTTTTATCGATATCTGGGATTGGTGATGACGAAGAATCCATAAAAGAGATAGTTTTGCTTAACGGAGTAGCAACTGGTGTCCTTTCTGTTTGCACATTATTGGTATATCCTTCATCATAAGTTGAAAACGGTTCGCTCAATACTTGCATATCCTTTGAATCTGTTTGATCATTAACTAATTTGTTTAATTGTTCATTCTTTTTCTTACAACGGTATAATTTCTTTTGAAGAGCAATAATTTTTCGATTAAGTTCTTTGACATTTTTACGAAGTTCTTCATTCTCTATTTTTAATTTACTTCTGTATAAAGCGGCTCGAATTTCTCCTTTTTTTTTAGTTTTTCCTCATTCTGTTTTTGTAAAAATTCCTGTTTCTTATCTCTTCTTTTTTTATTTGCCTCACGCCATTTTTTTCTTTGAATAGTTTTTTCTTCCTCTGATAAATTTGTAATTTTCTTTTGTCGCTGTTTTATTTTACCAAGATGTTTCTTTCGCTTTTATTCATACTTCTCCGGTTGCTCTATTTTTAACCGTCCTAAATACCGTTTTTGGCGTTCTGCGCCAGTTAACGGCATCTAAAATTACAAAAAAATTAGTATAACAAAATAAAAATAAACAAATAAATCAGTATAATAAATAAAGTAGCACGTTAATTATTTTTTATTTTTGATATAAAATAAAGAAATATTATGTTTTATTTTTGTGGCGTTTTTTTAGGTATATTCACAAAATAAATGAATAAACGTTTTTGCTAAACATTTGAAAATGATGCAATACAGATGCAATGATAGAAAACATATATTGACACAAAACAGTAGAAAAAATACCATAATTATTTTCATTTTTGCCATGTGAACTCGGCCTAACCATGTTTTACAATTTACTGACGTCAGGAAGTCATGAAATTGTGTTAAGAAATTGAGGTGCCATAACCTAACTTTTCTTATAATTTTATAGATTGTTAAATTATTAACTTCGGCAGGATACTATCTCATGAATTAGTTTTTTTTCGTATGTAATGCAAATTGTAACATGTTCCTTACTCACTTTTTTCCCACTTGAACAGCGTCTTACTGACGCTAATAAGTAACACTTTTTTTCCACACACGCCGAACCCATATGAAAACATGAATGTCACGAAAACAAAAATGGCGGCAGTATGGCAACTTGTCTATGATGCATGCCAATGTTGCTACATTTAATATCATAAAACTACCACGGCTTTGTTGAAAAGCAAAAGTGGAAATTCGCGTCATTAAATGAGTGTCAGTAAATGGTTCAATTGAATAGGACACATAGTTTTACACGCTTTTTTAATAGTTATTCAAGTCATTTATCAATTAAAAAGCATGAAATCAATAGGTTCATTTATTTTCAATTGGTGTAGCTTGTTTAGGTCAGCAGAATAAAAGCACATCATTGGTAAAACGATTTTTAAAAATTGCAATAAATTTAGGACACTATTTTTTTTTTTCGTAAATTATGCGATTTTGATGAAATGAAATTGTATTTTTGGCTAGTATTGTTAAAAAATTGCTCAGTTTACAAATGAATTGTTTAGTTTAGTATATTGTTAGACAATTTGGACAATAGTCAATATTATTTTTGCAAAATAAAATCGAAAAATTTACTAGGACACATAAAGGAGAGTACCATATGAAAATATGTACAACTTTTTTGGATATGACTCATATAATGATATCAATTAGTACATAATAATATATAGCATGACAATGACAATGGTAACATCTTTTCTTTCTCTACTTCATTAGCCCCTTAACTTTACAAATAGATATTTATTAATATCGTATATATAATTATAATATATTTCAAATATTAAATAAAAGGACACATTTCTTTAAAAAATGTCCCATACTTGTCACACCGGCCCCATGGTCGCCAGTCATGTACACCAGTCTGTGAAATTAGTGAACTAGGTACAGTATATACTATATGTAACGTAATTAACGCACACCCTCAGTCACCCCAATTAGTATATTATGTTATAATCATAATACATACACTGAATCTTTAGTTAAACATTTTTATGCACTGATTATTTATCAAATGAGTTATACTAATTCCGGAAGAATTTTGTGGTCACAGTACAAATCCACGAATGCAAAGAGTTTAACGTGCTTGAAATATAGTTTATTTTTCTTTATTTTTATTGAATGACAGAATTAGTAACACAATTCAGAAGAATTAAGAATACAAATAAAACTGCACTCTTAAAAGTTTTATTGCCTTAAGTTACGGTCCATTTCAGTTTGTTTTGACTGTACAGATTTAGTGTGACTGTAATTTACGTAGTTTTAATTATTTTTGGGATAAAAAATTACCTATATTAAAAATGATAAGAATCGATTCAGTAAACGATTCTGAACAAACTACTTTCTCAAAGTGCGTTAATTATGTTACATGTTGTATAAATACATTTTCATTTTCCTGCCATTAGAGTCTTCATAGCCTCGTCAGTTATCATCATGTCAGTTGTGTCGTGCGTGAAGCGATCAAGGACTGATTGACAATATCAAATAAAGAAGGCTATGAATGAGTTGTATGTAGGCTGAGGACTAAGGAACCTTTGACCCTCTCAAATTATTTGTAATGGAAGGAATATCTCTTTAATTGAAAAATGTAATCATTAATATTTGCATGCTATTTTAATGACTGAACCAGGTGGGTTTTTATAATATAATATGTATATCTCTGTTGTAACTTGTTTATTGATTCATGACCACGTGTACGGCAGTGCACGATAAAACAGTTAGGAAACCTGCATGCCTCAAACAGTGAAAATATTTCTAAATATGTGAAGTTTGTCAACACACACTAGAGCAGCATGATGGACTTTTTGCTCCATAAATCTCTCAGGAGACCTGTGCCCTGTCGACCAACACAGCAGGCTCCTAGGCAGAAAACGTGGTAGATATGCAGTAGAGCAATGCTGTAGTGTATTAAGGATGCTGCCCGATCACGTAGACTTAACCGGGAAAGGACTACTCTCGCGCAGAATACCACTGAAATAGCAGCATGAAGCTGCTGTGTTTCAAATGGAAAGTGTAGAGAACTGACGATCCTTTTTAATGGTAACATTGCTACTTGGGATTAGGAGTAGAATAGATGCATGTTGATTTTTACGCAGGTTTTCAGACAGGCTTTTTCATAGAATAAGGGTAAGAAAAATGAGCACATCATCCAAATAATGGTAAGTGCCTCCACTGTGGCCCATTGAATAGAATAGAATAATTTTATTCAATATAGATTATAAGAATGTTGGCGGTGTGTGTGTGTGTGTGCAGGAATGGGGCGGCGAGGCGAAGGGTAGCGGGTCCAATGCGGAGGGGGTGCGCCTGCAGCCAGCCGAGCTGCAGTTCGGCGCGGCCGCGCTGGCGGCGCCGCACGCGCGTGTCGTTACCGTCACCAACACCGCCAACACCACGCTGCACCTCGCCTCCGTCGCCGGCACCACGCCACACTTCCACGCCTCCTTCTTCGACGCCAAGGTACGCACACACCTACACGTACACACATATGTTGCTTAATGCCGTTACCGTAACCGTTACCGTTACCGTTACAACCTGTCAAAGCCCACTGCTGAACAAGCTTTTCCCATAGATCGCCTCATGGGGGGGGGGGATGTTTGTCATGTTGCCACTCTCGGGAAGTGGTTTGGCAACTGCAGTTTTTTATTTTTAGTTGTTATTAGTAAAAAGCTGTTACCAATCTCCTGATTTGTTTCACTCTGTCGCCTCTTACGACACCCTCGCCACTGGATGATGTGGGGATATGCTTAATACAATACTTGGTAAATAATACAATACTGTTGCGCGGCTAAGTTGACATCTGGCACTAGCGCCATCTAGTGTCGGGTAACAGAGCGAGGAGAGAGCTTTCCAGAAAATGACATCACTAATCTTTCAACCGACAGCGCCATCTGTTGTCGAAACGAAGAACTAAGCTTCGAGAAGCTGAGACTCGAAATTTCGGCGCTTTGTCGATTGGTGCGCGTATTTACTTGAATGTTCTGGATGTTTCTGTACTAATGTGTATTTATAGGCGCTGCAAGGTGCGATCGGGGAAGTATTGAATTTGGCGAGAAAAGCGAAGCTTCGGAGCGAAATAAAGTGAATCAGTGTGATTAATTATTGGTGTTTTAAGTTTTAATTTGTGTGAAGAAAATTAAAGTGTTAATTTAGGTAATTCTATCGGCAATTTTTATTGTCACGAACCTCAAGCTCGTAACAATACTTTTAAATTTGAAGCAAAATTACCATGAAGCCACTTATGGGCTGTTGCCAATTACTAACCCACTCATAGCTAAATACTCTATATGATTGAAGATTCCATCTTTTTGATAACAAATCAACACTTAACACTTCTTTTAACTATTTCAACTAAGTTTCAAATGGTTGTGCCAGGAGTAGATCTCAACAGTAGTCAGATAGCGGATTCGAAATTCGAACCTACTTTTTTAATTTACCATTATCGTCTAAGTATAAAGCCGAACATTTGTAAAATTTGTTTTAAATGAATAGATTTATTCTTGTGTTTTAGTGTAAATTTTTGTACTATTTTATTAGAGTTTTGTTTTAGGGTGTGTGTTATTTTATTTGTGTGATTGTGTCAAATAAATAATATTTGCTTTGTAATAGTTCTTTGAACAGACCCTTGGTGAGTTGACCTAACCTAACTACTGAGTCGGGTTGTTTGGCCCTAGGCCCAAATTCCGCCCGAAGCCTAAAGTAGATTTCCGACTACGCTATAATATAAAGCATATAGTATATAGCTCATGGCATAACAATATCGCACACCATACAAAGTCAATAATATATAGTACAGTACAGTGTGAACGTGTCCATAACAATGTATGGTGCGCGATATTGTTGTGCTATTGTTGCACTATATGCTATTATATTACAGCGTAGTCTGAAATCTACTTGATAAGTCATAACACCGCAAGTGTACGCACTGACACAAAATAGCTCACTTGTCTTAAACATTCATGTCAATACTCTGCGATCATTACAAATGTACACATATACACAAATGTTAGATTGCGAACATTCACTAAAATCAATCATCCGCGTAAAGCTTTGAGATGTGATGTGATAGAATATTACTAACGAAAAAAATGGGGTCAACTTGTATTTTGTTTCAATCTTATCTCAAACGTTTATGTTTTGAACGTACGTAATTCGTGTATAAGTTACTCACTAGTATTAATTTTTCGTAGGACTAGGAATAGAAGCTATTATTACAACATTGAGTAACATTTTACGTACGTACGTATTGTATCGATTTAATAATTCTTTCATTCATAAAGTTATGCCTGTTTAACAATTATTTTCTGGGAGTTGTTAGTTCCTGTTTCTCACCTTCCAAAGTGGCAGTGAGCATGACCGTCGTTGGTGGTGTATCGGCTTGCGCTTTATCGTTCTCTATCGCAGGAGGTGGCAAGTAGCCACAACCCTTGTGTCGTATCTTCTTGTCATATGTTCGTGACTACATACAATATTATTATGTAGATAAGTATTTCTATTGTCAAATAAATAAACAATTTTAAGACTTAGAGTACTGAAAATGTTGAAATAAGATTTGTGTGTTTACTCTGTATATGGAAATGAAAATAAAAACATTTTGTATTTGTGGTTTTGTATATTTAAAAACTTGTTTTTGTTTTCGAACATTAATTCACGTCCCTCTGTTTCTTAAAGCTTTGAGGTGGATGTAATGTTACGATTTACGAAATGTGTGTCACACGTTTACTTGCACGGAATATAACCAACCTTGAACATTATTCATGTTTTTTTTTTTAGATACCACTTAACGGGGCAACTCCCTTATTTAGATCAAAAATGAATTAAATGATAATAAAGTTATTTATTAGCGAGTATTTTAATTAATGTTCTATAAAGATTTTATGTCTTATTGATCGATTACAATGCAAATGCAGAAACCAAAGTGTAAAGAATAATGTCTTCCAGACTGAATTTTGGTCACGAAGCGACGCGGTGGCCAGTCTCAACGGAGACGGCGCAAGACAGGATTATATTGCCCGAGCCCGAGTGTAATGCGCAAGCACAGGTGCGGGATTCGAACTCGGAGCCTGGTGATCAGCAATCGCATTTAGAACCACTAGACCAACGAGCCAGTCAAAAGAAATATATTATCGTTTAGTTTTAGTTTAGTATTCATAAGAAAGACTATCATAATATGAAACAACTTGGATTATCAATTCGAATATTGCCAGTGTTTTAATTTTAACAAATATTAAGATACGTGTCTAGTTTAAACGTTGTGTAAGTAATTTCAAACAGTTTATTATGTTAACTGCATTATTAACTTGTTTTATTACTTGCTATAAACGAGATGATGTTCTTTTAAACATCGTCTTGACGCTGTTGTGTTTTTTCCGCGCTCCCCAAGTAATGTTGTTTATGTTTATGTTTGATGTTTAACATTTTCATGTGCGCGGAACTGAAAAACGGAATTAGGTAACATGCATTATTTTTGGAACTATGCTAACTACTGCGCAATGACTCGTCGCAACGTAGTGCAGTGTTCTATGACTTGGCCGCATTTTCGAAGACAGTGATTTAACTTTATCTCTAATGTCTGTTTCCTGAATGGTTATTGTAGTTGCATTTAATTAACTATACGTATTCATAAGTAGATGGTCGTTTTGTGGCGGGCGTTGGTTTCTTATAGTGTCACATTGTCTCTTGTGTTTAATTGTAACGCGGATAACGCGCAGAGATCATTGCCCCGCTAGCGAACCGCTACAGATTCCGCATCGGACACAAATAGTAAAGATTTTATAAATAGGACTTCACAAAATTTAAACGTAGATGTAGACGTTAGTTGGTATAAACTTTAACGTTAACAGATCGTATTCAAAAGTTAAGTATAGCGTAAAGTAATTAAAAGCTAGTGATCAAACTATGTATTTCGATTACGATCAATTGTAGTCTACGACGATTATATTAGTGTTGGTCAATAATCTAGCGATTATTAACTGATTACTTTTATTTTCAAATAAATTTATTCCTATTGTTAATGTAAAGCAAAAAGTATCTTGCTATCAATCAAAGTGGTGTGATTGTTTTCAAATGCTGGACTGATTTAAACTGAAAAAAGAAGAGATTGATGCCTGAAAAGCTGAAAATGTCATGTTTTATTTCAATAATTATTCTGCACGTGTGTTGTCGTCACCGGACTTTTCTTGTGTGTATCTGAGTAGCTCCCTGGATGGTTCAGCCTTTAGATTCCAGGTTCTTTTAGTTTTAGTGCAGGGATATGTCTGCCGGGCTCGCTAGTTTCTTTTATATAATATAAAGTTAAGTAGGTGTTTAAGTACGAACAATTTATTCTGTTGTTGTTATTATCGCTTATCTTGCTTCAGTAATGTTCACGTAATAGTTAGTAAGTCGTCACTGCCATGTATTTTTTATTCTTGCGCGATGTAATATTATCGATCACTTCCACTGATATGTTATCGATTATGACTGTTTAAGGCCTCGTTCACGTATTTACAGCTTCCGGAGGCGGGTGCAGTGGTAACGCGACGGGTTGCCATTTTTATATTAACTATTAACATTTGCCGCCAGATGTTTTGCAGTAATTTGCAAGGAATTCTGGACGATGGGTGTGAAGCACTGCCAACTTGCTGACTCGGGCTGCGGCCACTGACCGTTGCTTGACAAAAACCCAATACCTCAAACCACCATAGACCTCAGATTCGAATATACTAGATCAACGAGCATTATTGATCGAAAATCTTAAATAGCTGACTAAATATAAAAATATTGATGTTACTGATATAAGAAGAAAGAGCAAAATCACTCAAGATTTTCGAATAAACTAGAATGTTCATCAAATATTTTGGTTAGTTTTGATTCGATTGTATTAGACAGCTCTGATAAGTATAAGCTGGTTGAAATTTTGCACTTAATACAGCCATCCATCTTAGTCATTATCTCAGACGTGACAATACTTATTTGTTTTTGCTATTTTTGTATAAAACGTTCATATCCTCCGCTAGTTTGACGTGAACATAAACAAGTGACGTCATAAATTAATTTGACATTGCTACTGCAGTCGCGAGTGTGCGAGGTTGCTATAAGTACTTAGGGTGACAAACGAACGCATTGTCCATGGTGATAAGTGGATGCTGTGGTCCATAGACCGCATCTAATCCCTATTAAGAATGAGAATGCAGAAGTGTTGTCTCCCATGAGGACTAAGTTGGAACGTTACCAGTAAAGAGGGGCTCCGATTTTAGTCACTCACTATTCGAAATACAGTAGCATATTTTTGCGAGCGTGCTCCTTCCCCGGTTGACTTGACTCATATTTGCTGTGCGACCATAATACGCATTATATTATATCATATATGCGTAAAAATTTAATCGCATGTGCGATTCACAAGTCATAGATATTATCCTGATGTGTGATATTTTGACCGTGTCCCCAAACAAACGCACGCTAGGCGTGTACGTGTGTGTATCTACGCGTACAAGGCCAGGCATATAAGGACTGGTGATAAGGGGTCCGGTATTATGACGGTCACGGCCGCGTTGCTTCAGACTCGCCGAACCGTAATGAAGGTGCTGGCTGTTGTAGGCAAACAAGATTTGACACGTCGGTCGGGTGTGTGGTTTTATAACCTTATTAATTTAAAATTTACATCATATTTTTATTTATTTACACTTCGTATTGAACTTTAAGTCCACTGCCAAAATAGTCCCCACCAATAGATTGCATCATAGGAGGATTTTTGCCAAGTTATCACGTTTGGCAGGCAGGCAGGCACTAATGAAATTGTTAATTGCAATTTTAAGTGCTGATTTACCACGTGTTCGGCGGTGAAGGAAAACATCGTGAGGAAAGCTGCATGTCTAAGGAATAAGAAAAAAAATATTTCGAAGACGTGAAGTTCGCCAACACGCATTGGGGCTGCGCGGCGGACACTTTCTTGCCCTCTCAGAAAACCCTCAAAACCCTCTCAGAAATGAGGGGATGCCTGTGGCCAGCTGTGGGACGTATATAAGCTGTAACTTTACTTTACTTTTACGACGAAAATTAAATTTGTAAAATGTTTGTCGCACGGTTATGCTTGTTTACACGATGACAACAGTATGGCTATTATTTTAATTGTATAAATTTAATAAGATGGTTAAAGTTTGGGTACATGTGTTGTATTTGTGCTTCGAGTTACTATAATATGTATGTAAAACATCGTTTTATATTATCGTAACGTAGGTACTACCTCCGTTTTCACTACAACAAGCCAACACAAAATTTTGCATAGTCTGATTTCTCTGCAAACGATACTACGATAAGAACTATGCTCATTTAAGCTACAGACCTTTCTATGTGACTTGACTTAATTGTAACTAGCGAGATAAGTAATTATTCTCAGAGCATCTATTCTCATCCTGCTCATTCGTATGAATAGACATTATAAGTATTATTAAGTCGGAAAATCAACGAAGTATCGTCAGCAAATAAAACTAAATCACGGTTATTCCCTACCAAGTAAGTCGTTAATATAAACTAAGAATAATAAGGGTCCAATAATTGAGCCCTGGAGGAACACCTATAGATACTACTAAACTGTTTATTTATATTTAAATATTATGTAATAAGTTTAAGCGCTATGTTTTTGTACGTAATTGTAAATATAGTATGTCTTGACCAACGCACTGTATAATAAGAAGAAGGATAGCAAGAACCGAAGAAAAGTTACTACACCGAGTAATTAACGGGCGCGCAGGGGCGTGGGAAAAGTTCGCATTTTGACGTCGAGTGGCGCGAGTCAAGCTCGAACTTTTCCTGCGTCACAGCGCGTCCATACCTCCGCTGCGATACTACTACTACTCCGCTCGACAAGCTGCTCGCCGGGTATACTTCAAATCAAATAATTCAGCTTAAGCTAAATACAGTTTCGATTCATACCATCTCGGTAAAGATTTTGCATCAAGTCATTCTTACTTCTGTTGGATGTGGAATCGTTGTCCCATGACATGTGACACATATGCCACGGATTCCAGTATTACAATAGTAAGAGGCGTGAGGTGAGGTCGGTCAGGTTGCATTCATTGTACTACATTCACTGCTAAAACATGTTTATTGCAGTAAAAATGTACTATGTTAACATTACATTGTGTCAGTATTTGAATGTTATCTTTCGTCCTGTCTTCAAATATTATAAATTTATTATAGTATCCTATGATTATAACTGTTTGTTATGCTTTATATTATTAGCTAGCGAAGCATTGAGCTCGTAATAAAAGAATAAATTATAATTTGGGTCAGATACACTTTAATTACATCCTTAACATACAACTTTTCTGTTTAATCCCCATACCTTTATGCTGTTCACAAGCATTTTCGACAAAAGTATACGAATTACTATCCTAAACAAAAGTGTTTGTTAGATATTCTACTCTCCTTCAGCAAAGTCAAAAATGTATCCCTCTTTAATAGTTTTCTACACCATGTTTTTTCTAAAAGAAACACGAAATGTCTATTGCCTCTATTACAAAAAATGTTGTCGTATTATATGTTCGCATATTGACAAAATATGAAAAGAAGTACGATCAAAGACCGATACCAAAGACACATTTTAAAAATATAATATAAATGTGTTAGTATTGATAAAAATAATGTTCTCGAGAGTGTACGTGTGGTGTGATGTGCCACACGACAAGCGTGTGGCACTAATACTTGTGGCGTTTGTGCAGACGCTGGCGCCGGGCGGCAATACAACCTTCAGCGTGGTGTACCTCGGCCGCCACGAGGGACCCGTCGCCGCTAATCTTTATATACACACTTCGCTAGGCGTGCACAAGTACCCGGTGAGTTCTGTACACACTCGCGCGTTCGCACCTGCATTACATTTACAACCAGCACAGTAGAAATAGTTCGGACTGCTCTACTTACATCTGCCTCAGATGAAGTAAAAAAAGGTAGATACAGCGCGGCCTTTATTATTAGTGAAGCGAAAAAACTCCGCTCCTTTATGTAAGCACACGCGTTCACGCGCACACGTGCATTAAACTACGCTCACTTTCGCTCAGTACTTCCCGGGGCGTCGTGCAGTAAATTTACCTACAAAATGCCGTCCTGTGTAGTTAAATGTTACAAAAACAATACTAAAGTGAACAAAAAGTCTGAAGATGAAGTCGTTTCACTCGTAAACACTCATTTAACTATATTTTAATTGGTTATTCCAACACAATTTTGAAGGTTATTCGAAGCACGAATGTCAATGTTTCAAGATTACGTAACAGGAGAATGTTGCCAGTATTTCTTATTTCTAATGATCCAAGATTTGGGTAATTAATTTTAGGCTAAGTTATAAAAATATATGTAATCAGCATATTTTTTAAATTAGTTGTTATTATATTACATCAAATTGAAGTCAAGATAAATATTTAATTTTTTAATTGTTGAGTACTTTACAAACTATTTTACTATCAAAAAATATTTATGATTTTAGGCTACCAACGAATATTTTAGTAAGACATGATTTTTTTAAGTGGTAGAGCCATGCTGCAGTTATACTATTAGTAATATTGTGTATGGGTCGGCTCAACCAGGGAAGGACCACGGTCTCACAGAATACCAGCGTAAAATAGTGCTTAATTCCGACGTTTCGTATGGTGACTGTAGAGAACCGGAGACCCTTTTTGCTGGAAACGAGGCATTCCATCTTAGTCTTCACGGGTGACAACGCATCTGCATTTTGATTGGTAATTAAGGATATAAGCAGATGTCTATTTGCCACAGCAAACACTTAGCATCATGTGGATTGTATACTCGTTGGTTTCCCTATCCTTTACAAAAATGAAGGGTAGCTGCTTGACTTGACAGCAGTAGAGCTACGCAGCGGCTACTGATATCGCATGGACAGGCCAGCTTGAACCGGGGTGGTACCACGACCTCACAGAATACCTTTCTTTTTAACCGAGACTTAGGTGTCCTCTCCGGCTGATACTTCATATCTCTCCTACCCGGGGTACAAATTAGAACAATCCTTTGTGCCCCCGGCTGGAGTTTGTTCTATTTTGCATTTAGTAAAATATACTTTTTTTCATTTAGAAAAGTATATTTTTAATTCCATGAAAATTTATTTTTTATTCCAACTAGTTGTTTTTTTAGTATTGAGTTATTTTTTATAATAAACATGATTTACATTACATATGTTGTATATTTTATCGATGCTTACATGCTCACTGGACAATCTATCTATCTATATATCTACAGACGCCTCCTACATGCTTTATCTTTTTTTGAATTGTCAAATTGTTGAAATTTATTAAAACAGACAGATATACTTTTACATTCGCATCGCATATTACTCTTATATTTGTGTAGTATTGTATCTCGATTTTCAGGGACTTTTAAAAAAAGTAGCAACACTCCTCTGACACACAAAGTTATAAAATTGGTTACAGTTTCTTGTTCTAGGTGCAATATCTACCTTTTTTACTTAATCTGAGACAACTGCTTTATTGTCTCTCTACTACATTTCATCATTTGCCTTTGACCTCCATTTTTCATAATAAAGAATGGTCAAATGTTAAATTAATTTTAATGAAGGTTTTTAAAATTTATTCGATGGATCGGTTTTTACTAATGTAATTGATCGATAAATGAATTCAGACTAAGTAAAGCGTTTTAATTAAAAATATGCAGGTGTCAGCGATAGGCGTGGCCAACGAGTACGATGTGTGGCCGCTATTGGGTGTGCGGGTTCCTGTGAACGCGTCTGTTGAGCCGATGCTTACCCTGTATAATCCCACAGACGACACCATCCAGGTAAGATTTATTATTAGAGACTATATTGTATCTTATTTTTAATAAAAGTCTTTCAAAATATAAAAAAAACAACTACTAATATTTTGCTCGACGACCGAAAACACATAAAGGCGGGACTATGTGATCCAATAATTTGATTGATTTTTAAAATAAAATATGGAGAAACAGTAAACTTTTAACTACAAGCTTGTTGCAACTTCAGAGTTATTTAATTTAGTAAATTTATTTTATATTTTATACATATGTATGTTGTATTTTTTAAGTACTAGTTTATTCTATAAATTTTTCCACAAATTTATATTCTTATTCTCTTAATCTGCATCAGTGGCGAAGCTTCCATTAAAGCCGAAAAGTCGGGCTTGCCTTATTAAACCTAAATCAATCAATAATATCAACTAATAAAATAACTCGTAAAATGTTTCAAGCTATTTCAAATTTCCCGCGTATCCCGTTAGGTAACCCAGAAGATCACCAGCCGAGCGACCGCGACGGAAACTGAACTGGCGGTCACTAATCAGCTGGTGATCTTCAAGTTATCGCATGAGCTGACTGTTAATAATGGATTCCATTATTTTAGAGAACAAGGAGATGATGGCGATAGGCCTATAGTTGGACGGATCGGAGCGGTTACCTTTTTTAGGGATCGAGTGCACGAGGGCTGTCTTCCATGATTTTGGGACTATGCCGAAGGAGTAGGAATACTGGAAAAGACGCGTTCAAACGTCAACTCCGGAGCACTTTTCTTCAGCACAATAGGAGGGACGCCATTCGGCCCACTCGACTTGTTGACGTCCAGGGAGAGGAGTGCTCTGCGCTGAGTGTTGGGTTAACAGGACATCCTGCATGGAGCACTCACTCCGCGCTGGTGTGTTCCCACATCACCGACCATCCCGCGGAGGGAGTAGGTCCCCAAGGTCCAACAGGGAAGGTACATGATCTTCCACATCTGGGATCCGCGTGGGCGAGGTAACCAGTTGTGTCAGACCATATGCCAAAGCAAAGTCATAAACAGATCTACCCGCATGATCGGTTAAACGAGAACCAAGCCATTCAGCGTGGTGGGCTTTAAAATCTCCAAATATCACGATCTCTGCGGATGGGATCCGTTGTAGCACGGAGTCTGTAGCCATCTGGACGTGGTCGATTAGTCGGTCTGTTTCAGCATTACTGCTATGGGACTTACAGAGGCACCCGTAGTCGCGGAGATGGTCGTCGCTGTCTACGCGCAGCCATAAGATCGACAGGACCTTCAAGGCTGCTGAGGCGTCGAAAACAAATGTCCTCTATATATCTATAGAACAAACTCCAGCCCGGGGTACAAAAGAGTGTTCTAATTTGTACCCCGGGTAGGAGAGATACGAAGAATCAGCCGGAGAGGACACCTGTGTCTCGGTTAGAAAGAGCAAGGACGGCTTCGCCGTTTCCAGATGGTAGTGGACGCGTTAAGGTTTGAATGAAGTCCCTTGATGCTGCAGAAACTCACGGATAGCGTGGTAGGAGGCGCCTTTGACTTATTGCTCAGCTTGCCCCGAGCAGGTTTAGTCTCGAGCAACCCCCCCCCAACCCTCATTCCATCCCTTCTTAATTTAATATTATAATCTATTTGATATAGTTTTGAAATAAGTACACATAAATATTTTAATTGTTCACAATAATCGATTGTCAACCGATGTCGGTTAATAATCGATTATATCTACTAACGGTAGCATAGTGGTGTAAATGAATTAATAGTACGGTTGCAACCTGTTTTAATAAATAAAATAACCAACTGTAACTTATATTTTTTAATCGGTACTTACAGTCAATTTCCATTTTTTTTTATAAAAATATTGGCCGCAGCGGCACTGACCCAGCTTGTCTCGAGCCAATAATTTCAGGCAGTACACACTTTCTATAAAACGCTTGTAACTTGGCTAACATATTCAAAATCCAAAACTTGTCGTCTTTGTAAACTTTTAGTACTTTTACTGCATAATCATCAATATATTTTTATTCTCCGTTATTTTTTTCTCCAGAGATAGGATATTTCGTTTTTTACGTTAAGTGACACATTGATACTTGTATTTATATTTTCCCCATTCGGACTGGTAAGAAAGCTCAGCTACAATCAAAATAACTGTAATGAGTTAACTATCTGGTATAAATATACTATACTAAAGTAAATATTTTCAACGATTAAAAATTGCGGCCGTAGTTGACGATGCTCTGGCACAAAAATTCAACGACAAGGCTAGGGTTGCCAGGCCTTAAGACCGAAAAGTCGGACAAATCAACGAACTTAGCCAGGCATTTTGGTAAAAAGACCGGACATCCTTAATTTTTTAGTCGTAGTATAAAATGACAATTATTTATAAAGTAATACAATGCTTTTTATTATTTACCATAAAATATTCTCAAATTCTAATGAAATAACAATAAAATTAAATAAACCAGTCTTAAATAAATTAATCATTCAATATTCATTAAAATATTAATTTAAATAATTGCAATATTATATATAAGTACAGGTTGGGCCATAAGTTTTTTTACTTTTCAAACTAAATTAAAATGAAAACTAATTACATCAGGTGAAAAGCGTTTATTAATTATGAAAACACATAAAAAGGGAATTTATTTTTTAAAAATTACATATCCCATATGTGTTCCTTCATTATTTTGGCATTGTTGTAACCTGGAGCGAAAATTTTCAATGACGGCCTGACAAGTGTTCCGAGGAATGTTTTGCATTTGCTCGCGAATACGTTGCTTCAATTCCGCAACAGACACGGGGTTGGTCTCAAAAACTTTACTTTTAAGGTATCCTCAAAGAAAAAACCCCGTCTTGCTGAAACCACGATCGTTGATTAAAACCATCAAAATGTTGTAGCGAGGGAGTAAAATAGTTTTGTAACATGACAATATACCGCTCTGTATTCACTGTAACAGTGCGTCCCCTTTGGTCTTCAAAGAAGTAGGGACCAATAATGCCTCTTGCTGACAAAGCTGCCCATACAGTAACCTTGGGTGAATGCAGGGGTTTTTAATGCTTCAATTTTGGATTATTGTCACTCCAATACCTACAATCTTGCCTGTTGACATCCCCGTTAACGTGAAAGTGTGCCTCGTCTGAAAAAAAAATGTTGGTAAAGCGGGTAAACCTCTCTAGCATTTCGTTGGCAAATTGCAGCCTGGTAGCGTGATCTTGAGGCATTAATGCCTGTACCATTTGGATTTTGTACGGATGAAAACGTAAATCTTTATGAAGAATGTGGTATGAAGACGTTCTGGGCACATTTAAGACGCTAGACCGCTTTCGAGTAGAGAGTCTCGGTTGTTCACGAACAGACGCTCTTACACGTTCCACATTTTCGGGATCTCTTGATGTCCTAGGTCGGCCGGATTTTGGTTATTTTAACGTTGAACCTGTCTTTTCGAATTTCTTTACCCAACTCTTAATCAACTGAATCGATGGAGCTTCATTTTTATGGCGTATATTGTAATGATTACAATATTTTCGTTGCGATATTGTCAAAGAATCGTTATTTTTGTAATATTCGTGTACGCAGAACGCACGTTGTGCTCCGGTGAAGGACGCCATGGCACTAAATTCCCATCGGCCGCTCTTTCATTTCGTAACCCCGCCGCCCCGCCCCGCTGCAGCTCCCCGACGCAGCTACCGATTCAAAAGTTAACGGGCTTTTGGTCCACCCTGTACATGAAAAAGACAATTTCTTTTTGTATTACGAATGGCCTCTACAAATTGTGGAGTAACTTAATGAAATGCATTTATCACTTATATCTCTAGACTACACTAGTGATATTAGTTTTACCGCATCTGACGGAATCAAACAGCAATCTCATTATAAACTAAAACTTATATGTGCGACTGTCTAGTAGTTTTTATCGATATTCTATGTTATAATAGTGCAGTGTTAATAATAAAAAGTATAAAAAGTTGTAGGTTCTTCAAAATATTAAATACTGAGTGGATTCGCCGGAACTACTAAAATAATATTTTTAGTAGTTCCGTTGAAAACAGTTCACGAATAAACAAACTGCGGTGATTTATATGTAGCAATTGATTCTTAATTGTATTATTTATCATGATACCTACCAGTTAGATTTTCATAAAATCTTTAGCCAGTATAGTATAGTAAATTCGTATTTTTTATGAGTTAAGTTACGTTAAAATATCTCTATTGTCCACAAACGATTGTTTCCTTTAAAAAGCTAATAAAAAGCCAGACGGGCCGGACGCGCAACCAAATAGCCTGACTGTGTCCGGATTTATCCGGACGCCTGGCAACGCTAGCCACGGCCTTCGACGCCCACTACGATAATATCGAAACGAGACGGAGCGCGCGAAATAAATTAATACAGGTCCAACCTCGACGAGCGCTCGCGCTCTATTGAACGCAGAGGGCTGGCGCAGTGAAAATGGTACTTTTATTTAGTTAATTAAAAAATAATAGTAACGATTTAAAAAGTAAAAATCATAGTAGAGGTTAAGCAAATGTTGATGATTATTTTTGTATAAACATTAAATCAAAATGATTGTAGAACCTTGGAGAATATGAAAGGTATATAAAAAAAGAATTTAAAAATAATAAAAATATTTATTTTTTCGATGGTCGATATTCTATAGAATCTACAAATTAGAGCTCCCAAATCATGTCTCTCAGAGTTTTGGTCTGAACATGCGTATTGAGAATGATTATTATTAAATAAATAAATAACTTATCTAAAATTTGAGCTTATTGTAGTAGAGAAAACGAACTATTTTTTACTAAGTAATTGTTATTTCAAGCACTGAACGGAAAATATATAATTTCAATGAGGAAACCTTGTAATTTCGCGGTTTTTCGTAATACTCCTCTTACTGGTGGATTAACGTTAGGAGTACCCGACGACTCGCATCCTTGATGCTGCTATTCATCGCAAGTGTAGTTATTTTCATGTCACACACGTATTATGAACTACCTTTTATGTTCGTAAGACTTTCCATGTTAAGCTATGCTGTATGTCATTTGACAAATACGCCTCCTCGAGGCATTTTTTATCTATTGGAGGCTAGAAAGCAAAATAATTTTTTATGAAATCTACGGGAAGATATATATTAATACGTAAAGGGAAAACTTTGTACCCTTTTTAAAAAAATATTACGTGCACGGAGCCGTGTGAGATTTGGTATAGTTAAAGTTTATATGGAAGAGCAGTGTAGAAAGTTAACCCTCTGTAGGGCAAGATATCCAATTTTAAAACTAAGTGGTGAAAAATGTTAATTGAAACAAATAAATATACACGTGTTCCGGGAAAAATCTTTTTATTTTTATTTATTTGAGAAAATCAAATTTAAAGGGAGTGTGACATAAATGTCACACTGGTATAAAGGTAACTTAACTTAGGTGAAATTGTTTGAAACAATTGTTATGTTTATTGTAGCACAAAGCAACGCCACACTTCTCGCATATTGTTTGCGAGACACCAGAGCATTTAGGAAATTTGCAGCGAATTCTCTTTTCTGTCCAAACAGGCCAGTGTCCTGTCTGATCCTGCCTGATTGCCACTCGAGGAACATGTTGTGCTGGACCTTTGTGTCGTTTTGATTGAAGTTCGTTTTCGATAGATCGACGGTTCTTTATCTTCGATGGTACACTAAGCTTACATAAAGTTGTAGCAACTTGAAGCCGAAAATCAGCCGAGTTCAAATGTTTTTCCTGCAATCCCTTAGCCTTATGAATTCTTTTGTAAAGAAGCCATGCGTTTGCCATACTCAAGTCCAATAAATGATAAAACATTCTAACCTGCCACCTTTTGCTACGAAGCCGTATTTTGTAGCATCCCATGATGCTATCAATAAGGTCTACGCCACCCATGTGGCGATTTTATTCTCCAACAATATTTGGACGATCAATTGTTATGTACTGCTTGGTCTTCTTGTCATACCTCCTCACCTGTGCTTTTGGCATTTCTCCGACAAAACTGGATGCTAAATTTACTACTTTGTTATCTTTCCAGGCTACGGTTGCTACATCCACACCATTGACATCAGCAACATACTCAACAGAATAGCCTCTGTCTTTTTTGGACATTTCTTTGTCTGTAGGTAATTTGCAATCTGGAATCCTATTTCGGCGTATTGTACCAAGACTCAGTATACCGTTTTGTGACAAGTATTCTAGCAGTGGCAAGGTTGTAAAGTAATTGTCAAAATATAATCTGTAATTTTGGTTGCGAGGTATTTCTCTTGATAGACGCACGATAACATTTGAGGAAGCACCAAGATCAGGTTCGTTGGGCAGTACCACATTTTCTGAGCCAGTTTCGGGTTCGATTTTATACACAAATCCAGATACTCCACTGAGAACGTAAATCTTATAACCCCATTTGTGAGGCTTTTTCGGGTTATATCTTTTCAAGTTATTTCTAGCTTTCGTAGAGCATATTTGCTCATCGACGCAAAGATATTGTTTTAAAGGGATTTCAGAAAAAGATTGGTTTAATTTTTGTACAACTGGTCTAAGTTTGAACAGTCTGTCGAATTCCGGATGTTCGCGAGGCAAGTTTTGCAAATTGTCATTAAAATGTATAAATTGTCGAATCTTTTCAAACATCTTTACCGGCATTATTTCTTGAATCATAGGAGTTCCAATGGTGCTATTCCAATGATGGGTAACTCGAGGAAGCTGAACCAAAGACATGATGTACACTATGCCAATAAATTGCTGGATGTCTGTTGTGGAAACCCGAAAATTATTATTGGGATCCTTTTGCACAATATATAAATTAGTTTGAGTTGCTATAAAATCAATTAAATCTTTAGAAAACAAGGACAAGAAAATCTGGATAGGCGTGTCAAGCTCTAGAACATTTGTTGGTAAGTTTTCGTTTCCAAGAAAACGTAACTGATGCTCATTCAAAAGCAGGCTTTTCATTTTCCATCGCAGGTTGAGTTTTAGTGGCTTTCTAGGTTGTGCCACAGATTGGGTTTGTTGCGATCTAGTTGGCACAGCAGAAGTATGTAGATGGAGACGGATCAGGTTGATTGTCTTCTAAACTATGAATGATCTCTTCAAGGTTCACTTCATCATCTTCATTTTCATCGCCAGAAAACTGCTCTTGTTCCATCTCATCCTCAGCTCGATAATCAGGATCTGCAACACTGTCATCGTCATCCTCCATACCATCTTCACTGTCTTCGTTTATTTCATTCAATAATTTGGCTATTTCGTCAGCCGAAAGAGGTCGAAAAGTCATTCTAAAAAGAAAGCAAATGTAATGAGCCGCTTCATAAAAAAATTACCCACGTTAGGCAATGTGACATTTCTGGTACAAACAAGCCAGACAGTCAAACTCAACGAAGGCATTCAAATACATAAAAACCCACAATACACCACAAAGTATATGTACTCACCTTGTATATTTTCGAAATCTACACAGTATTTATCGCGTTTTCCTATTTTTTACAGATTTTTAATCATTTGTAAAAAGCAAGCAGGTAGTTTAGAACGCGCGGTCGACAAACAAGTGCTGTCACGCGGCACTAACGGCATCTACATTATTTGTGTTAAACTAAGTCGATACATCGGTTTGTTACAGTCATGTTACAGTGTCGCGAAATGGACTCGAAATAATATTTTAATTTTAAATGACAAATAATCGGTTTGTGACAGAAATGTCACACGGCGTTACGGGTTAAAATTTATGTATAATACTTGTTACAAATACAATAAATAAAATAAAAAATTAATTGCTTACGTTCTCACTCAAACACACAATAGTCTGTGGTCTAACACAGATTAGAAGTTGTTGTTAAGGGTACACTAGTCGCTTATTCTTCCATACAAACGTAGTCCGGCGATTACTCCACTGTTTGATGGTGTACGTACAAAATAAAAAATGATTTCAATTTGCCTCATTATTATCTAGCCCTGTATGGAAACAAAAATATAAAAAAAAAGATTATGTTTAGAAGTTAAAAGCGTCGAAAATTCCGAATTTCAACACTAGTTTTATCACATCTTTGTGCGGAAATAAATACCATAAGAAGAACGAAAATTGCAAAACAGTTACCATACAGGGATAGATAGATGTTCAAAAATGCAAATAATTTTATTTTGAACAGATACATTCAATAGATTTTTCATGACATCCAGACTCCCAAAGGTCTGTTTATAAAATTTCGCGCGCTCCTTTTTGTTGTAAATCATCTTGCCTTTCGCTACAAATTGTTTCCCCGATCAGTGGGACGGACGGAGGGGGGGGGGAGGGGCGCAGCGCGCACCTACACATGCTCACTATAGTTCATAAAAGATAGCTTGATCTCTGCGACAGCTGTCAGTAAAATCACGCCTACGAAGTCCTGAATTTCTTAGTAGTACAGACACACAGTACCTGTCAATGTCATACTTTATGGGCATGCCGACCTAATTAGTGCATGCTCATAAAGTATGACATTGACAGGCACTGTCTCTACTACTAAGAACTCCACCGTAGGAGGGATGTTTGCCACATTTGTCACGCATGCCGCGCTTGATGAGGGGTTAGCAACAGTAATTTTAGTCGTTATTACAAAAACGAGCTAGTGGATATTCTTACACCGTTACTACACAGTACATACTTGAAAATTTTAATGAATTACGGTCGAATTTCGAGCAATTGTTTGTATAAAAAGCGGTAGAGTAGTAGATAGTGGTCGAGCGATGTGTGGAACGGTTGGGTGTCGGGCGAGGGAGGTGTATGCGGTATGTTTGGCTTCAGGTGAGCGAAGTGTACTCGTCCGGCGCGTGGCTGGGGCTGCAGCTGCCGGGCGGTGGGCGCAGCGCGGCGCGCGCCGCTTGGGCCGTGCCGCCGCGCGCCTCGCGCGACCTCGTGCGCCTGCGCCTGCGCCCCCCAGCAGCACCACGCGCCCCCCGCACCACCCGCACCCCCACACCCACCAGCACGAGCCGCCGCAGCGCACGCTCACCGCGTACGTCAGGTGAGCCGCACGCACGTAGTGTTAGGAACACTTCGCTCCAAGTTCAAATTGTCTCACTAGGTAAGAGTCAACAGTATATCTACGTACATCTAAGTTGCCTGAGTTTGAAATTACGATACATTGTCTCACCATTATTATATTATCAGTATTTTTTTTAAATTTTAAATGTGTTTTCAATAAATTAAATGCGTGGTTCTGATATTTATATGAGGAAGTCTTAAGTAGCTTAGCGAGATGTGGATAGGGTTATGTTTAGAATTATGTTAATGATAAAATCCAAAATGAGAGAATAAGCACCGACCGGTACATCGTAAAAATGCCACTGAAAAGCTTCATTCAGGAAAAGCTAGGAAAAACTAAGCCCCAAACTATTTTTTAATTCTTTCAGCTCGAAAAAAAATGGCTTAACAAGAACTTTTCGCTAAGTTTCTATACAGATTTTACTCAAGAGTACATTGACTTGAAACATATGAAACCAGCTACTTGAAACTTAAAGCTTATTTGCCACTTAACAACTTGATGAGTAAGTAACGGAACAACAGTAATGCAAAGAAACTGTGTTCAATTTCAAGCACGATGAACCCACCAAAACTCCAAGCTTGGTTTGGAACATGAAGAATGACATCCTTTGTTTCTTCTTAGAATTGCCACCGAACTTCGAAACAACTTAATCTAAACGTCAGCTATTGTCGGAAATCAGCAGAATTTACGACCCTCTCGGTAGGGTAACGCCTGTTACTGATAAGGCCAAACTACTATTCCAGAAAGTGTGGAGCATTGATCTGAATTAAAATTAAAACGATGGGAAACAATTCACAGCTATTTAATAAATTTAAGATTAATATCTATTATTTCAGATTACGTGGTAGATCCATGCTGCAGTTATATTAGTAGTATAGTTGGTGCACGAATGGGTCGGCTTGACCGGGGAAGGACCACGCTCTCACAGAATACGAGCGTAAAATAGTAGCTTAATGCTGCTGTGTTTCGTATGATGAGTGTAGAGAACCGGAGACCCTTTTTACTGGAAACGAGGCATTCCATCTTAGTCCTCACGGGTTACAAGGCATCTGCATTTTGATTCGTAATCGAGGATAGATGTAGATGTCTATAGACCACAGCAACCACTTACCATCAGGTGGACTGTGTGCACGTTTGTCAGCCTATCCTATAAAAAAATTCCACGATAGATACATATGAATGTGATTCATTTACACGGATCAAGTTGCATGCCTTTGGCGACTCTTTTGAGAAGGCATACGCGGTCGTCGTATAGTCAGACGCTCTATAAAAATGGGTCATAAGTCACAACATACTTGCTGCTAAAACTAAAGTGTCGCCAATCAAAACTAAAACCACGCTCCCACGACTGGAACTATGTGGCGGACTGTTACTGGTAAAATTTATTGAAAAAATTAAAGTCGCACTTTCTGAAAATGTGCTACATATTATCACCTGCTGAACCAACTTGCAAGTTGTGTTTGCGTGGCTGCAAACGACCTCTACACAGTTTCGTTTACACTGTGGTACTATCCCAAAAGCAAAGAAAATCTGGCTCGAAGGATCAAATGAGAAGAATGAAAAAAGAATGTACATGCCACAGTTATCGACTCGTACAGCTTCTTTGATAATGATTTCTTATTTTTACGCCGACACTATACATTGATTAAAACTACTTTTACGGATTTTATCGCGTTTAATTTAAATTTTATTATTTTTATTTTTAATCCCCCACGACGGGAATCCCCCGTGACCATGGGTGCTAGAAAGCACCCGAAACGTGTGGAATTAAAAATAAAAATAATAAAATTTAAATTAAACGCGATAAAATCCGTAAAAGTAGTTTTAATCAAAGCTTCTTTGATAGTTAAGTTTACAGTTATGTTGTTTAAAATTAAGAATAATTACTAATAATTGACGATAGTATGTCAATATGAGTGGCGTATAAAGTAAGCACACGTGTTATTTTATCAGTTTATTATACACACTGAGTTTAATTTGAAAATGTTGCATTATAAATAATTCGCGGTGCGGTGGTTTGGACCGCGTCAGCATAAAATGAATGTATGGTATTTGGAACGTACAAGATATCTACCGTAGAAACAAAGTAACCGACGCAGCATTATATTATTAAGTAAGAATAAGCCGGTTATGTAGTTCTAGCACTCGTTTGGGAGAGAAAATTACGTAGTATAGACACTAGAACCATATATAGCTGTAGTACGAACGGGTTGACTCGACCGAAATAGGTTCACGTTTTCACAGAACATCAGTGTAAAACAGTAGAATAACGCTGTTGTGTTTCATGTAGTGATTGTAGAGAACTGGAAGCCATTATTAGTTGAAATGAGACATTCCATCTTCTAATGAAGAATAAGCGTGTGAGGTAACAGGAGAGATATAAAATGGCATTTAATTTTTAACCGATGATAAAAGTTTTATGTTTATGAGCCATAGCTCCTACTAAAGATAAAATAAACTATGTGCTCGTTTATCATCCTTCATCATTCATCATCATTACAGCCCTTCACAAGTCCACTGCTAAACATAGGCCTCCCCCAAGTAATGCCACAAAGCACGGTCCTGAGCCACCTGTATCCATCGACTTCCTGCATGTCTTACCAGGTCGTCACTCCATCTAGTGGGGGGTCGCCCTACACTACGCCTACCGGTACGAGGCTGCCACTCGAGAACCTTTCTTCCCCATCGGTTATCGGTTCTTCGAGCTATATGGCCGGCCCATTGCCACTTCAGCTTACTAATCCGTTGGGCTATGTCGGTCACTCTGGTTTTACTGCGGATATCCTCATTTCTGAGTCTATCACGCAGAGAAACTCCGAGCATAGCCCTCTCCATACCTCGCTGAGCGACCTTGAGCGTCCTCATACGGCCAGCAGTGAAGGACCACGTCTCAGATCCGTAAGTCATCACTGGCAACACGCACTGGTTGTACACTTTAGCTTTCAGAGATTGAGGTATACTTTATCACCCTTAGTTTATATAAAATAAAAAGGTGAAGAATCTACTTCATTACTAGACGTAAGGTACAATTAGGTGAATTAATTGAGAAATCGACAAATCACAATCAGGACCGTGACTTGTGGGAATCCTTGGGGGATTGTGATGAACTGTAATGTATAATAAGCGTGGATCTCTAATAGGAGAACATTTACGTTTAGTGTGGTATTTTAAAGGGAAATATAATGCAAATTAAAATAGGAGTTCATAATTTAAACTAAAAATGCATCAGTTGGCCATATTATTACCCATAAAAGTTAAGAGAAATATATTATAATGATTATAATTTTTCATGCTTACTAGACCATATTGCAGACCAAGTCATTATTTCACTAATAAACGTTTCCGTATTTATGTTTTGCATCGCGGAAAAATGAACACGATTTGATTAATAAGAAAGTCGCGCGAACAAGTACACTATCATCCGCTGGTCGCGGTCGTCTGACGCGCACGCCAGACGCAACAACGTGGCACCACCCGTTCGTCTCGTCGTATTGTTCCCGCTCATCGCAGACGCAAGACGCGTCGTGCTAGCCTGGCACACGACTAAGTGTGGTGTGTGCATGTCAGGGTGAAGGCGAACATCCCCGGCGGCGCACTGGTGGTGTGCGTGGAGGCGCGCGGCGCGCCGGCCGGCGAGCATGCCGCGCCGCTGCAGCTGCGCCTGCGCCCGCGCGGGCATCTCGATCCGCCGCTCACGGTACGCACGCATCGCACTACACTACACTACACTACACTGTACTACACTACTGCTGGTCGGCGAGAACGTCGCGCCGCTGCAGTTGCGCCTTCGCCCGCACGGTCAAGGTGACCTGCTGCGCACGGTACGCATGCACCACACCACACTACACTACTGCCGGCCGGCGATCACGCCGCGCTGATGCAGCTACGTCTGTGCCCGCGCGGACAACGCGACTCACCGCTCACGGTACGCACGCACCGCACTACACTACACTACTGCCAGCCGGTGAGTACGCCGTGCCGCTGCAGCTGCGTCTGCGCCCGTGCGGATAACGCGACCCGCCGCTCACCGTACGCACGCACTGCAATACACTACACCACACTCCACTACGCTGCACTGGACTACACTACTGCCGGCCGGCGAGCACGCCGCGCCGCTGCAGCTGCGCCCGCGCGAACTACACGACCCTCCGCTCACGGTACGCACGCACCGCACTACACTAAACTGCACTACACTACTCCCCTGCGGCGTGCTAGTGGTGAGTCATATAAAAATATATATATATATATATATATATATATATATATATATATATATATATGAAAGAAATAAAATAAAATAAAATTAGAAGGTGTAGGTTCGACGCCTTTCAGGATCAGAAGGAAAAGTGAGTACTTCCCTGACACGTCTGGCGACGAGTCCGGCGGGAGTGGTAGGGGATAAGTGTCCTTTTCCAACCGATTCCACTCGTGCGAGTTTAATTTGTGTGAATTTATTTCGTATATTTAATTATAACCTCCCATCCTTAATTTTTGTAAAAATAATAATATGTATTCACAGCTCCAGCAAAGTTCCCCAATATAAGGGGAAGAACATAAATATTTAAATAATTATCAAACTTATTAGAAGCAATTAGATATTATTTGCATAACGTATGTGTTTGGGATGATTAAAAAAATGCATTTACAGAAATGCATTTAGGCGAGTTGTGCCTTCACGGTCACTGAGGTCATTGAGGTCACTAAGGTCACTGAGGTCACTGGCAAGCCGCGCGATCTATCATGTGTCCCCACTTGTCTCCGCACGCGAAGTAGATCACATTACATAATATATTCTCTTCACAACGGGAGAGACTCATATCTAACAATGGACTATATGGGCTAATAAATAAGAAGAACAATGTTGGTACATAGCAGATGATTTACGCGGTGAACTCCTCTCCTGGAGATGTGGAGTGCAAAGGGACGGTGTCCAAGGTATTGGGGACAACCCTTCACCTTCCCGTGGACCTAACAAACTCGCGGTTATACGGGCTGAATCTCGTGGGCTTACTTGACTCTCTACAAGTTATTTACTCTAATCCTTGTCCCGTTCTACCACTCTTCCTTTCTGGGCTAAACAAAAACAGTACACTTTCGATTCCAGGCAGATCTTGTTTTCTCTTTTTCTTCTCCATGGCTGTTCTTCGCGCATGCCATCTATGCGCAAACTCTCGCAAACGGCCAAAGCTCTCCCTACCGTCTACAAGGTCTGGGTAATAAATAGGATCCACCTTTTCGTGTACTATTCCGTCCATCATCTTGTATTTCAGGTCACCATACAACATGCATTCCCATAGCCCAAAGTGGCGCCTATCCTCATAGGCAGCACCGCAATTACATATACCAGATTTAACCAATTACATATCATATAGTCTCTTTCGAAAACATTCATGCCCACTGAGAATCTGGGAGACTTGATAGTTCGGCACAACCCAATTCGCATTGAGTCGCGCCCGCACGTCCTGTTTTTCCATGTGTGCAGGGTATTAGTTGAGTTCGGTGTAGTAAGCGAGAGCGTGTAGTGAGCGTGATGTAAACGTGCCGTGTGCGTGTGGCAGGTGTCGGTGCGCGCGGCCAACAGTGCGCACTCCGCCGTGCGCCTGCAGGGGGCGGTGCGCGGCGCGCGCTGCCGGCCGGTGCCCCCCGCGCTCCATGTGCCCTACAGTGACGCACCGCGTGACCCCTGCGCCGACCCCGCGCACGCGTACGCACACAACGGTACGCACGCACGCGATACGCATCACACAACATACTGTTGACTACTTTTCGTAACAAACTGTCTTAGTAGTTTATAAAATTGGTTAATTATTCGTTTTAGCTTATTATTATTTTTTGGGTCCATTAAACACATTTGGAAGTCCTTGTTAATAAGGTTAAGTCAAAATTTCTATGGTTTATATTTCATTAATTATTTTTTCTCTAATATAGTTACAATTATAACAACTAACGTTACTTCTGTTATATTAACTAATGTTTGTATTGATTGAATGAGTACATTTAGTTTATTTATACAAATAGCACAAGTACACAGTCTACCTGATGTAAAGTGAGTAGACAGACACTTTCATCATCTATCCTCAATTAAAAATCAAAATGCAGGTACATTGTCACCTCGAATGTTAGGATAAAATGTCTTTTTATCTTTTAAAGGAACGTTCTAGTTCTCATCACATAATAATAAATACGGAAGCTTTATACTGCTATTTCAATATTTAAATATGGCCCATAAACATCTACATCTATCCTCAAGAATCAAAATGAAGATGTCGCCCCTAAGGAATAAGATGGAATACCTCGTTTCCAGTACAAAGAGTCTCCGATTCTCTTCACTCACTATACGTAGCACAGCAACACCAAGTTGCTATTTCACGCTGGTATTCTGTGAGAGCGTGGTCCTTCTCCAATCGAGCCGACCCATTCGTGCTACAGCTACAATATAGCTGCAGCGTGGGAGCCACGTTATCCATCCATTAGAGCCTAAAGTCCACTGCTGCATAGCCCTCTCCCATAGATTGCCTCGTAAGAAGGAGCCATAACTGCCACGCTTGGCAAGCGGATTAGCTGGCGCAGTTTTTGATAATTTTGAGTTGTTATCGGAAAGGTGCCGCAGCCCATCCCCTGTTCCATTCTCCTCTGCCGCCTCTAGCGACGCCCGCGGCTCGATACAGGCTACTGGATATTCTCACGCCGCCGCCACACTGCACCGGCTCTACTACGTACATAATATAATGTAGTTTGAATTTTATTTATTTTTGTTATCCATCACATTGCGTCCCATTGCGGCCATGTCTTGTTTTAACCCTTTTCCTGTCCCATGAATTATATATGAAAATTTCGTTTGTTTGACTATTGTGTCTATTTTGTGGACTCGGAAACTTAATCTATCAAGCAGATGGAATCTTATTTTCCAAATTTGTAGACCCCACCTAAGAGTATAGGTAACATTTAGAAGTGGCCCCTCAGAACCATAGATAACAAGTGCTCAGAAACTAGAGTATAAATAACAAGGTATAGAACGCGCGCATCGCTCATTGCACATTATGTCAAGCGTAACCAGGTGTTCAATAGATAGCTACTGATACATAGAGCGGTTGAATAGCGATGCGCCAAGATTGATGCCTCTCAAATTTTACCCAGTTATATTTCTTTCATAAATAGTTTAAGTATTTTTAGTTTTTGTGGGAAATAGGAGCCCAAAACTAGGTTACCCTGTGCTATGGGTCTCCTAGATCCCCTTCTTGGCTTTATTACAATTCGATGATAACATACCTAAACATGAAGTGAGCGTTGCATGGGAGTATCGAATATAAGGTCTCTTAAATGTAAATAACGATAAAAGGAACATTGAACAAAGTGTGTTTTACCTCAATTAAACATGGGTACGAACTTATGAAACAATGTTTGTTAATCAAACACAAAAATCTAGCTTAGGTAAAGAAGGTAATAAAAATTGACTACTGATATAAAACCTAATACTAAATCTAAAATGCATATATAAGGTCACATTCTAAGTCCTTCTAATGTTCTAAGTGATTTTATCCAACTTGACAAAGTCACGATGATTTTTCACTGTGACTTTTTTGTGACCGGAACGACGGTCAAGGTTATTTAAAAATGACACTTTTTCCCAAGTATAGCTTCGCCTCTTACGACACTCGCTGGATGATATGGACATTCATACACGGCCACTCACTACACACGGTAATTGATAATTTCTCAAAACATTATATTTTTTTCTATCGAATGCAAAATGATTAATTTATATTTACTTTCTTTTAATAGTTTAAATATTGTCATTGGCTTAACCTACTATACTTTTTGTCTGGACCATAGGTCTGACTAATTTTTTCTAGTAAAATGCCACCGCCTGAGAGGTTAAGGTTAAAATAAGAGACTATATATAAAAACTGTTTGTTTCGACTTTTTAAATTAATAGCAAAATAAACGGAAGTAGACGACAGTATTGAAATTGTCCATGGCGCGGCTGCGTTACGTTCGGTCGCCCAGTCAGTGGTAAATAAATAAATATACACTTAAAATTGCATTTCTGAGCTGCCTCTTGATTTAACTTATCTAAAATGTTCATGATATATTTATTTATATCAATAATATTGTGAGGAGTGTACAACGTGCAGGCGACGAGGCGCCGCAGCGGCCGGCGGGCGCGCACCTGGCGCTGCTGCGCTCGCAGCTGGAGCCGCTGCAACATTTTACGGAAGTCGCACAACTAACGCTCAACTGTAAGTGCACATATAAAATGAAAAGTGACTGCAAAATGTATTACATGAAATATAATAAAAAATACAATTGCGTATTAAAAATATTTCTTAGGCTTTCTTTTTACCCCACATATTTAATGATAATAAATTAAATTCGATTATGAAAAAGAACTTCAACTTTCTCGATAAACATCAATGTTACCAGAAGCACTCCGAACAACATTCACAACCAATCGTCGATTTTGATAGTACTATTGTCTGTTTTTTTTTTCAAACAAGTACTGAACATGTCTCTTGCACATTTCCGATATTGACTGGGTGAGATGGCTCATATGGGATGGATTAATACTTTATGTAAAAAAATTAGTAGAACTGCATATGCTTTACATAATTTGTCTTCAATAGTACACACGGATGCGCTCCTCACTGCTTACTACGGCTTAGCAGAATCCCACCTCCGATATGGAATAATATTTTGGGGTAACTCAACCGAAAAAGAATCAACGTTTAAAGCTCAAAAAAGATGCATAAGGGTGATGTTTAAGCTCAAAACTACCGATAGTTGCATACCATATTTTAAACAGTATAAAATACTGACATTACCTTGCTTATACATACTAGAAGTAGCAGTGTTTGTTAAATTGCATCCGAAACGTTTTAAACGCCTTGACCAAGTAGTTCCACGTAATAGACGCGACAATACCCTTTTATGTCATCAATCCGCTAAGACAGCACTAATGCGCAAAAGTATATACTGCATGGCTCCAGTCATATATGATAAAATACCAAAAAGTTGGAAAGAATTGCCGCTATCGATATTTAAAAAAGGCTTCGTAGCTTCTTGACAGTCAAAGCATACTATAGCGTAACAGAATTCTTGACTGAAAAAAAATTTTCATTTTGAGATTAAGACTGTATAATGTTAAAAATTTGAATTATGTTTGTTTTTGTGTTATTATTTTATTTTGTTAAAGCTGTTTAGGTGATTAGTTTATATTTCTGTATATTTTGCATGCCTACTGGTAAAATATGGCTGAACTCACTACCTATATTTCCATGTACTGTACCCATATTTGCAAAATAAAATATCTTTATCTCTTATCTCTTATCATTGTTAGGAGTGAGGCCAACTTTCTTGTTCTTGTTTCGAAATTGTAAGCCTCGCGTCCGTAGGCTATGACCACCTATTCCTAGGCCCACACTACGCGTGTCCCCCGGGTGGTGCTAAATGAGCGACTAGCCGATACCACAGACTCGGCTCCACGCCGTGATAGCGACATAAAACATACTGCCCAATATTTTCGTACCATGAGAAACTATATAAAAGAAATGGCCCCGAGTTCCCGGCGCCCCTTTAATGAGGCAGGGGTGCGAAGAATTTCCGGGAGGAAAACCGGCGACGAGGTTCGCCACCCGTCACGTTCTATCTCCCGGAAAAGCGAAAAGTGGATTGCAGAGGCCCGTCTGGCTACGTTGAATGTATGTGGGGCAATGAATGATAAAATGGATGAAGTATGCGATATGATGTATGATAGAGGAATAGATGTGTTATGTGTAAATGAGACGAAAAGGAAGGGGAAGGATGTCACTACACATGACATGTATACCGCATACTGGTCTGGTGTAGACGACATCGAGCGGGCATGCCAGGGAGTAGGTATCATCCTTTCAGAAAGAATGGGCCAATGTGTGAAAGAGTATGAATGTGTAAGCCCAAGACTGCTATGGATACGAATGAAAGTGGGCTTAAAGAAGTTGTTCATGTTAGGGGTCTACGCCCCAGACATGTCTAAGTCCACTTATATCCGAGAGCAGTTTTGGGAAATGGTAAGGATGGTGTTAATGAAGTGTAAGGGAAATGAAAATATTATTATGCTAGGAGATTTTAATGGAAGGGTTGGTTATGAAAGGATATTGGGAACGTCTGGTGATGAAAGTATAAATGAGAATGGTGAAAGTCTCCTCACCGTATGTATGGAAAAGAATCTTTTTGTGACGAACACTTGCTTTCGCCACAAGAGGATTCACATGTATACTTGGGAAAGAGGTGACGATAGAAGCATGATAGATTTCATAATTGTGGATGAAAGATTGAGGGGCGCAGTGGTGGATACAAGGGTTTACCGGGGTTCTAACGTAGGAACGGATCATTATTTGGTTTTATGCCGAATTAATGGTCTATTCAGGCGTTGGCGCCATCGGTCGTCTGTGTCTACCACTGCGTTACAGCGTATTAGAACAGAAAGGTTACAAGATGAAGGTGAGAGAAACAAGTTCAAATGTAGACTGAAAGAAAATATAAGTGGTTTGGATGAATTATGTATGAAGGAGTTAGACTTGGAGAATGTATGGCAAAATGTAAAGAAAGGTTTAGTGGATGCAGCTACCGAAGTATGTGGTGTTAGTAAAAGAAAGAATGAAAGGAAAAATAATACGTTATGGTGGGATGATGAGGTACGTATGGAAGTTGAAGCAAAGAAGAGAGCATGGCTAGATTTACTAGCAACAAAGGCTGGTAATCCTAGTGGTACGAATGATGATATTGAAAGAAAAAAGGCGGTCTTTAGACATCTTAATAAGAGAGTAAAAAAAGAATTTGAAAGAAAAAAGCAAGAAAGAACGGATAAGAATGATAGAAGAATATCGGATAATTTCCAGGAAAATATTAAAATGTTCTGGAAACTTGTAAGAACTACCAGGGGACATTCGAAACAGCCTATGATGAATGCTATAAGAGACGAGAATGGCTATATTCCGAAAGATGAACTTTTGAGTTTAAAGAGATGAAGGAATATTTTGAAAGCGTGTTTATGAGTGAGAAGACAACATGTGTACTAAGTGAAGTAGAAACACCGAAAGAAGAGGAAAGAGGTAGCGAGACAAGTATAGATGAAATAATGAAAGCAATGAAAAGCATGAAATCAGGTAAGGCAGCTGGATATGATAGAGTTTCACTCGAAATGCTAAGGGCTGGAGAGGAAGTGGTGGCAGGCCTGCTGCACACCTTGTTTAATTTATGCTGGGAACTGAAGCGGGTACCGGTAGACTGGTGCAAAGCCGTGATAGTCCCAGTATATGAATGAAAGGGGTCGCAGCAGGACTGTAAAAACTACCGTGGCATCAGCCTTCTTAGCATTGTGGGAAAACTGTATGCTAAGGTACTGATTGAAAGGGTCATGAAAGAAACTGATGGAAAAATTTGGGATGTGCAAGCGGGATTTAGAAAGGGAATGGGATGTACAGATCAAGTATTTTCCATGCGCATGATCGCGTAGAAGTTTCTGGCCAAAAACCAAAAGGTTTTTTGTGCGTTTATGGACTTGGAAAAGGCCTATGACAGAGTGGATAGGTATTGTTATGGCAAACACTGAACTCATTTGGGTTGAGCGCTGGCTTGATACAGGCATTGGAATCTCTTTATAGGGACTCTAGTGCTTGTGTTAGGATCAACGGGGTCGGACTGGTCTGACATCCATAAAGGTGTCAGACAGGGCTGTGTGGCTTCCCCGTGGCTGTTCAACCTATTTATGGACAGTTGTTTGCAAAATTTGGGGAAGTTATCCTTGCGTCGTCGGCGGCCGAGTTGCAAATGATGGTTACATTAATGAACAGATCATTAAAAGAAAGGGGTATGAAAGTGAACGCAAGTAAGACGAAGGTTATGGTTTTTGAAAGAGAAGAAAGTAAAACGATTTGTGAAATAAGAATAGAAGGGGAGTTGATCGAGCAAGTAGGTGAGTTTGTATATTTGGGCTGCGTATTTAGCAGGAATGGGAGATATGATAAGGGTATAGAACGACGAGTGAATGCGGGAAATAGAGTAAATGGGGCCCTGCACTCTATTGTGAAGAGTCAAAATGTGTCAAAAAAGGCACGTATGGCAGTTCACAATGCTGTGTTGGTCCCTACTTTAACGTATGGTAGTGAAAGTTGGGTGTGGCAGAAGAAGCACGAGAGTAGAATCAACGCAGTAGAAATACGGTCCTTAAAATACGGTAAGAAATTGTGTAATAAGAGAAGAGTGTGGTTTGCAAGATGATGTTGTGACCAGGATTAAGAAAGGAATGCTTCGGTGGTTTGGTCATGTGGAAAGAATGAATGAGGAAAGAGTGACAAAGAAAATTTATGTTGCAGAAGTGAATGGCAGAGTCGGAAAGGGACGTCCTAGGCGAAAATTTATCGACCAAATTGGCGATTTATTGAAAACGGGCCAAATTAGGAGTACCATTAACCGACGAGCATGTATGCGTAGGTGTATGGATGTGAAGGAGGCGAGAGAGGTGTGTCAGGATCGTGCCAAATGGAAGTCTGTAGTCTCTGCCTACCCCTCTGGGTGACAGGCGTGAGTGTTTATGTTATGTTTATGTTATATGTAAAGGCCCGTTCATATTGAATACTTATAAAATTTACTGTAGAGATTTTTTTTTATTTAAGGACCAGTAAACAACTTCAACAGAGGATTAATAACTAATCTTAATCTTAAAATTTGAATTTAGTGAAGCCAACACCACCAGCCTCAGATAATAGTTTATAGGATAAATAACAAAGTGAGAGCAGTGAAGAAGGACTTACTACATATGCAATATTACAAAATGACATTACTTGGAATTACTTTAAACTCTAATATAAACTATAAAATAAAAGAAAAGAAAAAAGGAAATTTTTAAAAATTTATGTAGACAAGAGATCAGCAATATCGAACTAATAAAAACATTACAATCTAGTCATAAACAACTAAACAAAAAAAAATTATAACAGTTTAATTTTGATTTCAACCAATTATATAATTTATTTATATTTTGATATATCTCGATGGTGTACCTCTGAAAGACGTACAGAAGTTTAAATATCTCGGTCATATAGTTACGAGCGACCTAGGAGATGATGAGGATATTGAACGAGAGCGCACAGCGTTGTTGGTAATCGGTGTCGGTGCACTGCAGACGTGAAAGTAACTTTATTTAAAACGTTCTGTCAGTCTTTCTATACCGGTGGTCTGTGGGTGACTTATACGCGCCGGA